ACCGAGAACATCCCTCACTACCCAAGTGACATTCCCCCAGCCCTTTCCCGTAGTGTATAGTAATGTGGGATTTCACATGCAAGCAGGATCTTACGTCTGGGTGGGAGGTGAAATTGTGTTGTTGGCCCTACTGGGCGCTTTTTCTGAGAGCATCCCAGGGCTTAGGAAGGTACGTAGTTACAGAACTGAGGCTGTGTGGGTGCCAAGACTGATTCCCAAGCCTTGGAGCTGCTCCATGTCCGTACAAGACTGAAAACTTCTTCTCTTCCAGAGAGCCAGGGGTCTAAAAAAAAAACAAAAAATGTGGCATCTTACATTAACTCTTAGGGATAGAAAGCATTTCCTCAGAATTGTAGCTTATATGTGAGGGAGTGGCCAAATGGTATAATAACCATTGAAGTGATTGATCGTCACTGTTGAGGGCGAGTGGCTTGTTTGATTTTTATTTGGTTTTATGTACTCAGAGTTTTGGATGTGTAGGAAGGCACTTTGGAAATGCAGCTAAGTAATCAAACTGTGTGTTTCTTGTGGCACCTAATGTTAGCTAGAGTGTAGCCTCCTAATATGAATTTCTAAAAATATTTTTTTTGTTTTTGTTATTGTTGTTTGGTTTTTTTGTTTGTTTTGTTTTTGAGGCAGAGTCTCTCTGTGAAGCCTTGGTTGGCCTAGAACTTGCAGTGTAGACCAGGCTGGTTTCAAACTCGCAGAGATCTGCCTGCCTCTGCCTCCCGAGTGCTGTCTTGGAGTATATTTGAAGTAGTTACAAGGCTGCTGTGTGATTGTAAGAGTTGATAACTTGCTGTCATGTCAGGGTGACTCTGGGGCAAACCCCTCACCTTAGCCTCTGAAGCACTTGGGTTACAGATGTGAGTCACCATGCCTGGCAGATTTTCTTTCTCTCTTTTTTTTCTCTTTCTTTGTTACTTCTTTTGTGGAGAATGGAATAGCCAGAACTCTGGCATGTAATGGCCTGTCTGGTCTCTCAGGCTCAGGCACAGTTGCAAACTATGTGCCTGGGGCCTAGCGCCAGGCACATCACACCACCACCTCTCAGACCTGCCACTGCAGAGCCCCGCTGTGCTCCGCAAGCCGACTTCCCTGTAATAACTCACGGACAACTCCCGCTTGCTCTCCAGTTGATGTTTATTGCTCACGATCTGAAGACTCTCCCTTCTACATATGACTCCAGCCTAAATGGTTTTTGGTTCAGCTACATCTGAGTTTCACTGGGTTTGCGTGTGACCCTGCATGTGTGTTCAGCTCTGATTCTAATCATGCCTGACCCTGTACATAGGGCTTGTCTGTGAACTGTCATGGGTGTCCACATAGAGAGAAAGGAGGCTGTGGCCGCTCACCCACACAGAGCAGGGGCCTCTATCCTTGGCCCCCAGGCATGCACTGCTCCAGAGACAAGGAGAAGTCCCAAGGACTCCAGGCTGATCTTTGTTTCCAAGAGTCTTGGCTGAATTTGTTGACATGTTTGGCCTCTCGAGCAAGCACATGGGGGAAAAGATGTCTATCCCTCTCAGTGAGGCAACTTTGTTTCTTAGCAGTATTCATGTTAATGATTTACAGAATAAAGCCCTGCCTGGTGGCATTGAGCGACCTTCCACCATCTCTGTGACAGTTAATACAATGCTCTCTCTACTTTTCCGTCACCAACAGCATATAGAATTCCTACCTATTTCTTCACATTGGTTTTCTTTTCATCCTTTCCAGGCATATCCTTGTTTTCCTGGCTATTACCACTAGGGGTAAGCTAGCTAACTAACTTGCTTGCTAACTTACTAACTGACTAACTTACTAACTCGCCTGCCCTCCCTCCTTCCCTCCTCTTCCTCATTCTCTTCCTCCCCCTACACTGTTGCTGACTTTTTTTTGTGAATCACCCACAGTTTGTTTGGAAATCGCCCACCACCGTGTCGGCATTTTGTATCTCAGCACTGGCACTTCTCATACACTCTGATCCTTTGCCAGAAATGTGGCGATTTTTTTATTATTATTATTACTTCTCTTAACTTTCCGTCTAGAGCGTTGTATTTTTGTACATAGATCAGCAGTGTTTCTCTTTACTGTTTCTAAATTTTGCCTTTCTACCTGTTTGGTTTTTTAAATAAACAGTGTAAAAGTCTATGCATCCCGCCGGGTGGTGGTGGCGCACGCCTTTAATCCCAGCACTCGGGAGGCAGAGGCAGACGGATCTCTGTGAGTTCGAGGCCAGGCTGGACTGACAGCCTCCAAAACAATACAGAGAAACCTTGTCTCGTAAAACCAAAAAAAAAAAAAAAGTCTATGCATCCCAATAATTCTATATATTTTTTCCATTTTGGTCTTTGTAAGCTCCATACAAGTTTTTCAGTTGGTTGTGTAAGGAATCGAGGCTTATGTTTCTCTGAGTGGACAACCAGTTGTGCTCACCATTCAGTGACAAACCTACTATTCCCATTTCTTTGCAATTGATTTCGATCATCAATAAAGTCTCTTGTGTGTGCACCCAGCTGCGTCCGTTCTCTGTGCTCTGGTTTCCATGACACTGTTGTTGCAGCTTAATTATCTTAGCCTAGAACTTTCACATCAAGAAGGGAAACTCCCCTCTCTTGGCTGATGCCCTTTTGAAAACATGTTTGTACTTCTGTGTTTTCTTTCATATGAATGTGTAGAGGCATTCTGTCTACGGCGATAAAGTATGCCTGCAGAACCTTTTGATAGGGAAATCATTGCATCGACAGGTCAATTGCAGATAGATCAGCATTTTGACAATATTCAGTAAAATTCTGAGTTACTTCTATTAAGGTCTTTCATTATGCACATGTCTTTACATACCTCTTGCTTTGCATGGTTTATTTCTTACTATTACAAATGGGGACCCATTTTCCACGGCATTTCAATGAATAAGGAATTGTGTGTGTGTTTCTACTTTCTTGACAAAATTCTTTTATTGCTGACGTTTTTACACACTTCTTTTTCTTGACTTCTCACATTGGCTTGGGCCGCAGACCTTTAGGGTGTCTTATTCCTGTGTCTAAATTAGAATTTTTCTAACATTTCACTGCTGGTGAAGGCACACCAACTCCATCCACCTGGTGGAATTCTTTGTGTCCATAGTTCATTGAGGGCTGTGCATTTTACCACAGATGACAGCAGATTCCTACCAAGAGCTCATTAATCCTTCAGTTCCTGAGTACCCAGAGATTAGCCAAATTAACTTGACCCTCTGTGTGTTGATATTCCTGCCTGGCAGAGAAACCAAGTCACCACCGAGTAAAAGCCTCCCCGGTCCTTCTGCTCGCTCACACCTGACTGTACGCGCTAAAGTCAAAAGCTTCTTTGCACTCATCCATCTTAACTTCTCTGCCACTTGGCAATATGCCCCACAAATCCTCCCCCACATGAAATTTGGAGTTTTTAAATTAATAAGAAACAGCTGTAGACTACAAGACCACCAGTTCTGAGATTTTTTTTTTTTGGGCAGATGCCTTTGAAAATTTTGTGTCCCAGCTTCTATTTTAAATGCCTCTAATATTTTTTTCTGGTTGAGCATCTTGAGTCGCCCTCGGCCACCCTGAGCGCAGCTAAGGGCGTCTGTAGTGTCTGCAGGAGGATGGGGACAGGAATCAGGCCAAGCCCCTCACTTCCTATGGAGGCATCACACAGGGTCGGGAGCAGGAAACAGCAGCGGCTTCTTCCTCAGGGCTTCCCCTGCCCACGGTTAGCTCAACAGAAATCCTTCCACACTGACTGATTAAAAATGGTTTAATTGCCAGCCTCGTCTACAGAGTGAGTTCCAGGACAGCCTCCAAAACAATACAGAGAAAACCTGTCTCCAAAAAACCAAAACCAAAACACAACAACAACAAAGGGTTTAGTTGCAGAGCACGTTTGGTCATTCTGAGGTGAAGGACGGTCTGTTGCTAAGCCATGAATGAAGAGTCCCGTTTCGGTCAGGCTTGCTTTTGGACCATGACACTAATGTGACCAGACACCTGTCTTGAGAGTTGTCCCTGTGTCCAGTGACAGTTTGCCCTAGGAGGGTGACACTTGCTGTGATGACATCTGTCATATTTAGGCATGCGAAGTGCTGGAGAATTTTGTAGAACTACCTCAGTAAAATGCTTTCTCGGGGAACTCTTACAACGAGACATTGTCAAAACGTGGATCTAAACAGCGTAGAAGAGAATCTGAATTTTAAGGCAAAACCAATAAATGTATCTCCTAAAAGCATCTTTTCTTGGTGCAAGCTGGAGAGATCTGATTATTTTCCGATAACATAGTCAAGAAAGCTAAAGTATGCCAAAGAGGACCATTTTTTATTTGCATGTCTGTGGGTGTGTGTTCATATGTTGCCTGTGCAGGTGTGTGTTCATATGTTGCCTGTGCACGTGTATGTGTGCACCTGGAGGCTAGAGGTCATTCTCAGGCTCCGCCTACCTGGCTTTTTGAGACAGATTTTTATCACTTGGTCTTGAACTCTGAGAGTAGGCCAGGCTGGCGGCTGAGCCCAGACATCCACGTGTCTCCACCTCCTCAGCTTCCTTACCTGGATTCTTAGGGGCAGGACTCATTCCTCCGATCTCATACAGCAGGCAGTTTGCTGACTGAGCATTCTCCCAGCCCCCCCCAAACCACCCCCACTTCTTTTCAGTGGGTTAACATTACCCCTCCAACATAAACGTCAATGTTAGTTTTAAGGTGGAACTTTGGGAATTCACAGTGGATTTCTCCCAGGTTTGGAAAGCCTAGATCAAGAGGGATTATTAGGAGCAAGAAACCCCAAGAGACAAGGCCGCCATCATTCTGGGAATGAATGGCCCCAAGAGCCCTATCCAGGCACAGTGGGGTCGGCTTTGCCACGTAGGACTCACAGGATTGGGGAGCTTGGCCAACCTGACAATTGCTTTTCCTTCCTCAAATCTTCCACATTTTCCTCCCGGGCCCTCAGGAGCCACTTAACACAGCGACTGACCTCGATGTCTTCTGCTGTTTTTTTTTTCCTCCTGCAGGCAGGTGACAAGCATTACCACCCCAGCTGCGCACGATGCAGCAGATGCAACCAGATGTTCACAGAAGGGGAAGAAATGTATCTTCAAGGTAAGATGGGTGGGAGGCCAGCACACGTCTGCCCCACCTGACGAAGAGAGACACAGTGTTGCGATTCAGAGGCGGAGGGATTTCATTAGCCAAAGTGGTTACTAGATGCAACGTGTGCCAGAAGTTAACTCAGCAGTGTGTGTTCATCGGCAGGGCAATTGACAAGCTGGCAGTGAGCCCGAGGGCCCACTACAGAGTGAGCTCCATGGTCTGGAGCAAAGACTCTTGGTCCTGTGGCTGTGAGGGACCAGAGAAGATCTGCAGCCGCTCCTCCCACTCTCCCCAGGCCAGTGTTTGGGGGAAACAAAAAGATCAAAAGGAGAGAGGAAAGTGTTTAGAAGTTGCTGCTTTTGTGTAGGGTCACTCTGGCTTTTCTCCTCACACCACACTCTGATGAAGGCCTTTCAAAATCCAAGCCTGCTGGCTTCCGGGCTCTGCAGAATGATGTCACAGCCATTGTTCCCCTAAGAGGACACGGTTCCATATGGGAGATAGGGGCTGAAAGGGGACACACCCACAGTCCCTGCAAGAGTAAGATAGTTTGTGGCAACAAGGAAAGTCTTCATTCCCAAGGGCCTATGGCATTGTGTTTAATTAAAAATAATTTTGAGAAGCGTCTCCAGTGTGAAACCGTGATTGACTCTGACCCCTCCTGATACTCCGTAAGCACAGATTCACTTCCAGCCAAACAGCACCGTGAGTGTAAGCACTCCGCTATTTTTAGCGGGAAGAGTCATTAATTAGACAGGGGTTTATCAGTACAATTAGCGCAAGCTGTAGGAGCGATTGCTCGTTGGGCTTGGTAATTGCGGGGTCTTGGTTGCCTTGGCATGTCATCTCTTCATTCCTCTTCACACACAACACCATGTGTGATTTTAATGAATAGTTTGCTTTCCTCTCTCGGTTTTGTTTTTGTGCAACAAGGAAAAGTCTCTCGACATAAATGTCGAACGTTAAAGCTCAGGCTTGACTACTCTCTCCTTTGAGAATTCTCACGGGTCTAGAAACTGCCATTTCCGTGCCTTTTCTGGTCTAACCTGACGGCTCCGAAAACTTGTGGTGACACACACCACTGGGTGTTGAAGGCGGCAAGTGTGACAGGTGCCACATGTGTGGTCTCTGGGGGCGCCATAGGACGCATTTTCCCATGGGCTAGTCATACTTCTGCTATGGCCGTGGGCAAGTGTCACTTTGCATTTTTGTAGAAAGCTGGTCAGTTCTCAGCGTATCTCCAGGCCCTGGCGTTTCAGCGGTTAGCGTGCCAGTTACATACCCCCAAGTACATGGCAGCCTGTGTCTGGAGTGAAGCCGTGCCACCCGCTGCCTGCCCTGCCCTGTTGGCACGTCCTCAGTGTCTGACGCCCTCTCTGGTCACATTCCCAGCGTGTGTGTGTGTGTGTGTGTGTGTGTGTGTGGCCTTCGGAGAACAGTGCAGACGTGGTGTGCAGACTCTGCGTTCTGTCTGGCTCCTCCTGACCTGGGCCCCACCAGTTGGTTCTCCGCATCGGGGATTTCCTGTGCTTTGTAGTCAGAGTTTGAGGCAGTGTCAGGGCTGAAGGGACCTGCGTGGCTGGCTGCTTCTTGTCTGACTCTACTCCCTTTTCCCCTTTTCCTCCTCCTCCCCCCCTCCTCTGTGTTGCAAAGTGGAAATGATTATTCAATTGAGATTGAAGTGTTATTCGGATATAGAATGTATTTTCTTTGATAGTATTTTAGCTCAGCACTGTGTTGGCTTGAAAGGAATGGCCCCTATAAGGGAGTGGCACTATTAGGAATCATGGCCTTGTTGGAGGAGGTGTGGCCTTGTTGGAGGAGGTGTGGCCTTGTTGGAGGAGGTGTGGCCTTGTTGGAGGAGGTGTGGCCTTGTTGGAGGAGGTGTGGCCTTGTTGAAGGAGGTGTGGCCTTGTTGGAGGAAGTGTGTCACTGTGGGGGCGGGCTTTGAGGTCTCATATATGCTCAAGCCACCCCCAGTGTCTCAGACCACTTCCTGCTTCCTGCTCAAGATGCAGAATTCTCAGCTACCTCTTCAGTACCACATCTGCCTACAGGGGACCATGTCTCACCATGTTGTTAATGGCCTGAAACTCTCAGTTGTAAGCCACCCAATCAGATGTTTTCCTTTATAAGGAGGGTTTGCCTGGGTCGTGGTGTCTCTTCACAGCAATAGAAACCGCGAGACAGAAGTAAAGATCATTCAAGAGTTAATTTGGTGGCCTCTGGTACACGCAGGTTGCTGCTTGGGAGACAAAGTTGAACCGACTTAGTATATACACAAAGTCTGGTGTTGCTTTTTTGTCGCTGTGGTATACCAATCACTAACTTCCATCCAGTAAATTTCACTGTCTTGGCTCTTTGCCAGGGAGCCGCATTCTTCAGAATTTCAAATGTCTGAGGAAATACATATGTGGACACAGGATTTACATATCATCCTCCCCCATAGTCATACATGTATATGACACCTATTATGTGTCTAGTCATACACAGTCATATGACAGGTGCTGGGGTTTGAAGGCAAGGACTTTTAGCTTTTTAATTTTCTTTGATGCCTGTGTCACCCACGACAGATGGTTCTTCACAGTCTGAGAATGGGGGATCCTGGAGCAGGAGCAGGAAATGCCACCCAGATAATAGAGCAGGAGCAGGAAATGCCACCCAGATAATAGAGCAGGAACAGGAAATGCCACCCAGATAATAGAGCATGAACAGGAAATGCCACCCAGATAATGGAGCAGGAAATGCCACCCAGATAATGGAGCAGGAAATGCCACCCAGATAATGGAGCATGAACAGGAAATGCCACCCAGATAATGGAGCAGGAAATGCCACCCAGATAATAGAGCAGGGGCAGGAAATGCCACCCAGATAATGGAGCAGGAACAGGAAATGCCACCCAGAAAATGGAGCAGGAACAGGAAATGCCATCCAGAAAATGGCTTGATGAGTTTAAATCAAAGTTTTGTTTTGGTTTGGTTTTTTTGGTCTTAGTAAATTAAAACGTGGAACCGTTTATAAACCAACTTCAACAATGTTGTCAGTTGATCTCTCATCTAAGCGTGGGTAACTATAGAAATGGACTAATAAAAAAAATTCGGTAGGTTCTATGCCTGGACATAGCCTATCTAGTTTGACTTTACGTCTCTTGATTAAGTGGCTTGGATGTTTTGACATTATATAGACATAGTTTTAAATTCTAAATTAAGTGGAACTAGTGGTAAGCACTCGCATGTTAATTTTTTGGGGAGATGGGGTGGGGAGTGAGGTTGGGGGTAGGGATTCAAGGCAAGGTTTCTATGTGTATCTCTGGCTGTCCTGGAACACTCTGTGTAGACCAGGCTGGCCTCAAACTCAGCGATCCACCTGCCTCTGCCTACTGAGTGCTGGCATTAAAGGCGTGCGCCACCACCCTCATCGTGTGTTATTTCTAAAGAATAATTGTATCTTTCGGTGGTGGCACATGCCTTTAATCCCAGCACTCGGGAGGCAGAGACAGGCGGGTCTCTGTGAATTCAAGGCCAGTCTGGTCTATAGAGAGAGTTCCAGGACAGGCTCCGAAGTTACAGAGAAAGCTGTCTAGAACAAAACAAAACAAAACAAAAAACAAACAAACAAAAAAACAAAGTAACCCCATTAAAAGCGAAATATCTCTTACGTTAGACTGCTCTCTGGCCAGTTCTGTGGCCTGGCATTGTGCTTTATGTAGAGCAAGCTCAGAACTCACCCAGGGTCACAGGTCACGTGGACCCTACTCTAGGAATAGAGGGGGTCTGAGCACCTCCGGAAAGTCTGCTCAACAGAACCGGGCCATCTTTCCATTCGCCTTATTCCCCGCGGTCCATTGTGTCTTTCCAGGTTCTACCGTGTGGCATCCCGACTGTAAGCAGTCCTCCAAGACAGAGGAGAAGCTTCGGGTAAGGAAGCATTCAATCAGAGCGGGGGGCGCTCTGGAGGGCACCACCAAATGGCCACGAGTTCCTGGGCATTGGTGGAAAGTAATTTTTTAGGCTTTTTTTTTTCTTATAGAAAACCCTAGGTCAAAGGCTACCTAGACAGCCAAGAGGGCGCCTCCCTCTGTAAACACATTGTAGCTGTTGCTATCAGTGCTAGCATTGGTCAGCCTTATCTGACCTGTCAGCGCCTTAGGAAAGTGTCTAGAAGAACTCGGGGGGGGGCAGGGAGGGATGGTGGCTCATCGGGCAGCCGAGGCGACCCTGCAGACCCTCTCGGCTTAGTCCATCATGCACCACTTTAGCCCAGGCTCTGTACCTGCTGCTCGGCTCTGGCGTGTGTTGCTGCCAGAGAGCAGCCTCCAACTCCAGAAAGGTGCCTGTCAGTCAGGGGTAAAAGCCCCAGGCGAGGGTGCTGACCTCAGCTGCATCAGCTGCGTCCTGTCAAGGGGGCAGCCGAGGGATCGTCCACCACTGCTGGGATGGTTTTCCCTGCCTCTGATAGACAGCTCCAGTTACCCAGCACAGCTAATGGCGCCCAAGTCCGTCCAGCCGCCAGGCAGGCTGGACTGGAATTTGGAGGGAGCATTGGTGTTTGGGCAACAGGCTGCCTCCCCCGAACCTTACAGATGGTGCCCGTGGACACTTCTTTTGCCCTAAGAATGTACAATTGTGGCCTAATTGGAACTCCTGCCCACAAACCACCCAAGCAGCCCATCATTCCTGCCCTCCCTACAGAGTAGCTTTTTTGTTTTCTAGAGAAAAAACAAACGAACCCGCGCATACCCCAACGGAACCCTCCAGAACGCTTATGGGGAAACTAGTGAACTATTTCTCTTCCTTCTGGCCAGAAAGGGTTTCTTCTTGTTTTGTTCCTTCAGTGAGCTTTCCAGAAAATTCCAGAGCTCTTCCCCACGATGCCCTCCTTGAGTGGCAGGTTGGCTCTCACTCCCTGTCTTCCGGAAGCACCCTAGTAAGGGATGGGCTTCGCCCCAAGAGGGTTCTGGCCCAGAGTCGGGGTGCGGGCTGATGCCGATGAGGCTTAGAGGGAACGTTTCCACAGAGGAATTAATCCCGTGCTCTGTAAGGGTGTGTCTGCACACACATCTTGAGCCAAGATTTCCAGGCCTTTTTCCACACGTCAAATTAGAGCAGTTTCCATAGCAAAATGAAAATGTTTGAAGACTCTCTGGGCAACCCCAGAGTGAAGCACATTCCTGACATTTAAGAACTCATGGGGCGTTTCGTTTGAAGCCTTAGGGTCCTTCTTGAGGCTCCTGTCTCTGTACTGTAAGCACAAGAGTGTCAAAATAAGTGGGAAGGACTCAACGAGGGGTCATAATGTAGATAAATGTTAGTAGATAAGCATACTGTAATGCTTTTAACATGGGCCCCAGATTGACCCCTGGAGTGGCCCATACGTCTGTGTCAGCCAGTTTACTCTTTATTTTCCTTTAGTCTTTTTACTCATTTTTTCATAGTACTTAGGAATGGGGCTACTTTGCTATTTATTCTTTCTTTCTCTCATGTTTCATGGCAGCCACCAAACACTCAGCGCTCTTCATCTGATTTCTTTTATCCCAAAAGTCTGATTCGTCGCACAGGACGGTCCCCAGCTCTACAGGTTGGCGCTGTGTGGGGGCCAAGGCTTAGAGCAGCTGTCTAGGCCCAGGCTTCTGCTGCCTCCCCTCCAACCCCCATCCATCCCCTGCCTCCCCTCTGCCCCTACCCCTCCCTTCTCCCACCTCCTGCTGCTCCTGTCACCTAACCTTCTCAGCTCTTGTAGTAGGTAGCAGCTTTTCTTACCCCATGAGTGTGCCCTCGTGCCCTGACTTGGTTGGGTTTTTTGTTCTGTTTTGTTTTCTGAATAATGTTTTTCCTCCTGAGCCATGGCTGAACTGATGTTTTGATTAAGGCTGGCTCACGGGAAGCTGCTGTCTGGCCTTGTGTTCACCGGGCAAATATTACCTACCATGCATTCTGCACAGTGCTGGCCGGAAGCTGTATATCTATCTGTATATAAAAGACAGATAGGAGATGATGAAATGGACCCAACATGTATCATGGGACCCGGGTCCCTATGGACCGTGTTCTCGGGAATGGCAGAAGAGGGCAGGGTTCTCGAGGGGACACTTCTTGAAGGATGGAAGCAGCCTCTGACTTTGAGGACAGATAAGATTTAAATGTGGGGATGTGGGGGGGGGGGGGTGGGCAGCTAGATGAGCACTTGGGAGCTGGGAGCCAGAGGCGTCAGTGATGGGGGTGGGAATCCTTAGAGAATGGAGCATGGAGGGGGGGAGGGAAAGTCAGCCCCATCCTCAGAAGCCTGGTCCATGAGAGATGACATCATAAGGACTTTCATTGCTTTGTTTGTTTATTGTTTATTGAGGCAGGGTCTCACTATGTAGCCCTGGAACTAGCTATGAAGATGCCGCTGGCCTTGAACTCACAGGGATCCACCTGCCTCTGCCTCCCAGCTGCTGGGATTAAAGGCGTGTGCCGCCACCACCACCTAAGCTCTTACTGGGGAACACTGATGATGTTCCCAGTTTCTCTCTCCCTTGGTGAGACAGGAAACCCAGGTTCCTGTGAGCCCCTTAGCCATGTCCTTTCCAGTCTGCCTCAAGTGGGCAGTGAGACACCAGGTTACCAAAGAGTGTTAACTTCCCCCTGAGAGCCTCCTTGGAATGAGGATGAACATGGCAGACCCCAAGCCCCACCCCCTCAGGGGCAGGAGGAGACTTGGGGTTATATCCCGGGCCCGACTTCACCTCCTGTGAGTGTCCAGAAGAAGCCACCGGGAGCCTTGGACTGTGAAACCACGGGCAGCTTTGCAGAACTGCCTGGTGTTGGTCAACAGGAGCCATATCTCCGCCACCACCCAGATCTTGTTTGATCTCTGTCCCTCTTCCTCCATCCTGAGCCTCCCAGACCCTCACTAAGGATGACAAGTGCCGGCCAGGGCTTCCGTCTTTACAAACACCATGCTCTTTCTTTTAAGTCTTTGAAAGAAGTCAGAAGTGGAGGGAACCGCTGTAGAGGCCACACCCTAAATTCTGTCACCCACAAAGTGAAGGGGACAGCAGACCAGTTGCCCAAGGCTTGTGGAGGCTGCAAACAGCAACACACCACAGTCTGGGGCTCTCCAACTCCTGCCCTGGCCCGTGGTGCCTGCCTAGCCACCCACTTGGTTAACATAGGATCTTCACTGTATGTTAAACCTCAGCCCTGGCGGCAAAGCTCCCAGGGAGAGCAGAAGTTTGGTGAAAACGCAGGAATGGCTGAAGGTTGAAGGTTGTCCCCAGCTGCAAACGGGCCTCCACTTGGCAGCAAGCTTCTTTTTTGGATTTTTGTTTGTTTCTAGTTGCAGGGAGGAACTCTGGCCCCTTCAGCTTGAGAAATTTGGAGCTGGCCAAGTGGCGGTGGCACAAACCTCTAATCCCAGCACTCGGGAAACAGAGGCAGGTGGATGTCTATCAGTTCGAGGCCAGCCTGGTCTACAGAGCAAGTTCCAGGACAGCCAGGGCTATGCAGAGAAACCCTGTCTTAAATAAATAAAAGAAAGAAAGAAAAGAAAAAGAAATTTGGAGTGGAGCAATGTGGTTGGAGACCTGTTTTTAATAACATCTCCCTTCCCAGCCTGTTGTTCAAAGGACCCATCTGATTCCCATTACTCAGCCATAGAATATCAAGGGAGTCAACATTAGCTCCACTCAGAAAGTTGTGAACAGCCTGGGCCCCGGCAGGGAGGGCTTCCTCTTGTCGTGGTGTCCCTTGTCCAGTGGTGACAGGTGAGGGATGCTCACCAGGGTCCTTCAGAAGCCTGGGAAGTCCCCAGCGTGACAGTGGCTTTGGTCTGTTGAGTCCACTCCCCTCTACAGCAGCCTTGTGCTCTGCTGCCTGCGCCCCAAGCCTGCGTTGTACGTGAAGCAGCCTCGGGGTGTTAGGTGCCTCTGCTCCTTTCTGCTTAGAGGGATCCGGACTGCATACCCCAGAAATAAACCCTGGTTTTGTCACAGGAACAGAGTTACCTTCTAAAAGGAAAGCAATTTTTAAATTTGTATTTAGCGGTCACTCCCTCCGTCCCTCTGAATTGCAGGTAAAAATTAAAAATGAGACCACATTTAAAGAAAACATGTTCTGGTTGCGGAGGCGTTAGCCCCACAGGAACAGGGGAGACCTTTGCGTGTAGGGAAAAGCATTGAGCATTGCTGATTCATGATAGACCAAGCACATGGCACTCTCATGGCCAACTGTGTAATAACCTGGCATGGGTCACCGGCTTTCATTCTAAAAAGGCGTTCCCCCTGCTGTTCATTGACGCTTAGAGCATGGATGACCGACCTACCAAACGCCATGAGGCTGGTTTCATTCTGAAATTCATTCACCTGTGGAACCGTAATGTTCTCGCCAATCTGTAGCGTACCAAGCAGATACCACATGAGTATTTTTCCAAGGAACTGATGAGTCAAGGCTTGGTGTAGGTCCTAGAACAAGGAAGTCATGTGGTTTGCTATCTCTTTAATGTCACCGGAGTACCCACTACCTTATTGTGTGTGTTTGCTCTGTTTGGGGACTTTGGCCTCTTTGGTTAGTAGGTAGTCACATAGAGACACCCAGATCCCTTGACCTTAGAAAAGGCTGGTGGCACTCCTGGTTGGGAGATGTGTGTGTTTAGAGCAGTTCTTAGCTGTGGGTCACAACCCCTCTGGGGAGGTGCATCAAAGATCCCGCGTATCAGACTTTTACATTACGATTCATAACAGTAGCAAAATTACAGTTATGGAGCAGCCACAGTGATCTTGTAGGCGGGGGTCCCTGCAGCATGAGGAGCTGTATTAAAGGGGCTGCTCGCTGTAATGATTTAAAAAAAAAGAAAAAGGCAAAGTGGCTACCTTTAGGGGCCCTGCCAAGTTATGTCACTAAGCAAGCACTGTGCACAACAGAGTTAGTGAAAGAGGTTTCCTGGGGGAGGGGGAGGGGGAAAGAGCAGCAGGCGGTGTTGCACTAGGGACATGGCAGGCAGGCAGGCAGGCAGGCAGGCAGACAGACAGACAAACAGACGACAGACAGGCAGGCAGGCAGAACAGGGAAGAGACAAAAGGGAGAAGAGAGGCCAGAGAAGCAAGAGACTCATGAGTTCGAGCTGTGCCCTGCAGGCACTTTTAAGGGGTGCACATGTCCCGTGGCTGACGGTGGAAAGGCCCCTGGCTGCAGGTGACGGTGACGTAACTGCCTTGGTGGCAGAGGCAGGCTTGCTGCTGCTGCTGCTGCTGCAGCTATGGTGGGAGCTAACAGAAGCATCAGGAAGGTTGAGAACCGCTGAACTAGAGGCTCCTCTTTCGTCTTCCCCAGACACGAATGGTTTTCCCCAAAGGTGTTCAGGTCACCATTTGCTTGTATCTAGTATGCACGGATTCTAGAAGGATTCCTTCCTCTGCAGCCATTGCCGCCACCTTGCCTGGTGAACTTCATTCAGCAAAAGCCCCAGACAGGCACTGTCAATACCAGCCACACTCTCGGCATAAGGTGTAGCCAGCCTCCCCCCCCCCCCCCAAGGTCCTAAGGTCTTTTTTGATCTGGCCACCCACTTCCTGTAGTCCCTCTCACCCGCTCAGACCACGTGGCTTTAGATGGAGGTGACCTTTGCTTCCTTGTGCCTGCTGAAGGGCGGCGTGGGGGGAGGGGACCGCAGAGGGCTTTCCAGCTCTCTCCTAAGGAAAGTATGGCGTTTGATGGTCAGTAGTTAATTAGGGTGGAGCATGAAAAGATCTCTTCACTCAGTCTCTCTTCTGCCACGGTAGCCCCTGACAGCAGGGAAGGTGGACAGAGGGCTTCAGGGGACGAATCAGCTGACAGAGAGTTAGTTGGAGGGCGTCTAGCAGACGTATTGGGAACACAAATGGAAGATGGTTCCAAGCACCCAGCTACTGTAGTGATGAGACGGCATTTTCTCCGTCATCGGAGGGAATGAACTCCAGGTATCCCGGGGAGGTCTCTCTTCATTAGAAACAGGAAACAGGCAAGCCGACAGCACCTTTCTCAAATCAAGAATGTGGGAAGCTCGCTGAGGAGAAGACAGCTGAGCAAGGGGAGCCTTTATGGAAGGCCGAGTGAGCACAGCTCTATCAGCCAGGATCCTAGAGAAGAGGGGAGGCTCCTTCTTCCTGTTGTCAGAATAAAGAGTGAACTATGGGCCTAATCTTGGCAAAACACTTTGAGAGACCATAGCCTTATGCAGTCCTTTATCTACCGGGAGCCTCCTCCCTCCTCCCACCTGCTGGAGCTAAAGAAACAGTTTCTTTTCTTCCGACTCTACTTTCAAGTTGTTGGTTTAGTTCTGTGAAGAGACAAAGTAATTACAGGAAAGTAAGTCTTCTTCACTCCAGCAGCTGTTAAGCCTTGCTATTTCCTCTTCCGTGTAAAACCTAAGAGGATATTCTTTGGGGGTTGTATTTGAAGTCACCTTCATGTATATATTCATATGTATAATATAGACAAGATAGTGGTTTGGGATTTTTTTAATTCCATCTAAGCTCTTTAGAGGGCATACCAGAAAACAAAGGCTGCTGACCAAAGAGTCAGTGAATCCAGTTCAGACCCGATCACCCAGGAGTCCCTGGGTATCTGAATGAGTTGAAGTGGGTAATTTGGGTTAAATAACTGCAGGTATGAATACTTGTTGTGGGTTATCTGTAGAGCTGTGTTGCCATCTAGCCAGGGAGCACTGAAGGATGATGATGAAGAAATATCAGATGTTGGCTTTGGAAGACACACGGCACCCAGGAATTGAGGACTTTGAGGTTGAAGTGAATTTCTTTCGGGTGTCTTTGGGTGGCATAGTGGAGAACCTGGGTCACCAGGAGGTATCTCAGTAACAGTAGCAAGTCTTGTATCCATTGGAGAGAAAAATAGCCTGGAAAAATAGAGTTTCGAATACTAAGATGTTGACTTATATAATCCTAGATGTCTCTAATTGAATGTAAAATTCTGGAGGTAGACAGTAGCACAAACTGTAATCTCAGCTGTTCAGGAAGCTGAGGTAGGAGGATCACAGTGAGCCCACAGGTCAGCCTGGGCAACTCAGGCTCCTTCTCAAAATATAAGATATAGGTAAGAGGACTTGGGGGTGGAGCACTTAAAAAGTTCTTAACATTTAGATCAAAGCTCCAAGGGTAATGGTTCAGCTCTGAAAAATAACTTACCTTCCCAAAGGAGACTTCTCCATGGGTTGAACCAGTCTGCCCAGAAAGCCATTAGGAGCCGTGATAAAATCCTGCGGTTCTGTGTTAAAAGCCTTCAGCAGAGTCCAAGGAGAGGCAAACACAGAACCATTCTGGCAGATGGGACAGGCCGGTGCAAGGTCACCGCCATCACTCGTGGGAAGGGATGGCTGTCCAGTGCCGAGGGTGAACCGCAGGCGGAGGTCACTGTGTGTGAAGGGATTGGAGTCCCAGCTCAGAGTCCTCCAGGGAGGGAAGGACACTTGACAGCTCCAGGCAGGAATCATTTGACAAGCTGTGACACATATGAGTCCAAGTTCTGAAGCTGCAGCAAACTGCAGACACTGCTCTCTGTGTCACTTGTGAACAGATGATCCCGTCTGGGGGGTACAGGACACAGGTGACACCGCCCCTCACAATCTGAGACCAGCTGGCTAGGTGGAATCCTGGTCTAGGTGGAATGTAGAAAACATTGACCACCTACGTATGCCTGGCTCCATGCCTGGAGCCGTATCCCTACCCTCTCATTCAGCCCTGGAGACCTGGTGGCTGGGGGTTCTGTCTTCTCGGTTTATAAGTAGAAAAAGTCAAAGCTCAAAGTTTTAAAAAAAGAATAGGAAAAACTCATGTCACCAGCACTTAAAGAAAATTATTTTAAGCTGGGCAGTGGTGGCTCACCCCTTTAATCCCAGCACTCAGGAGGCAGAGGCAGCGTTAGCGTTAACTAGAGAGGTAGGCACAATGTGAGGAAATCAACCAACATCTCATCCGGAATTTATTCATGAAGGAAAAAATTAGGGTTGACTGTGAGATTGAGGGAGAAGTTTAAGTTAACTGAAGGAAAGAAAAGAGCCACCCCAAGAAAATGGTGGCGAGAGGGGGCTGAGCAGCTAGGAGGAAAGCCTCGCGGCAGGGGCACAAGGCTTGTTCTGTGAGTGACGGTAGGTGGTGAGTGAGGCCGTAGGAGAAGGCAGGGACCAGATACCGAGCCCGGCAGCTGTGACTGCACAGTAAATGGGCCCTGTTGGCAAAGGCAGCCTGTCGACAAGGGACCAGGTTTTTCAAAGGTCTCTCTTGAGGTAACCCTTCAGTGCCAAGCGAATCTCAGGAAGGCGGAGTTAAGAGCAGGAAGCCCTTGGCGGGGCGAAAGGCGTGTGCATTGCCATGGCTCTGAGGAGCAGAGCTGGTGACTGGAGCTGGGATGCTGGGCCCGCCCGTGGGACAGGGCAGAAATGGGCAGTCGTGATATGCTCCAAGTTCAAGCCCAAGGTTCCTTAAGGGACAAGGAAGAGGAAGGATTGGGAAAGCCACATGGCACTAGTTTTCCAGGCTGCTTCCTTCAAGTGTGTGTGTGTGTGTGTGTGTGTGTGTGTGTGTGTGTGTGTGTGTGTGTGTGTTGCCTGAGTTTCCCATGAAGCTTGGGTGCCCGTCCCCCTTCTGGGTCAGGAGTCTGACAGGCCACCTGCTGTTTCTCTTGCAGCCCACCAGGACCTCCTCTGAAAGTATTTATTCTAGACCAGGCTCCAGCATCCCTGGCTCACCAGGTCACACCATCTACGTAAGTATCACGTCCAGAAGGGACATTTTGGGAGCAGGTGAGTTCGAGGATAGAGTCCAAGAAAGGAAACTGATCCCATCAGAAGATCCCGACTTCCCTCCCGTCTCCCAGCACCTCAGTCATGATTCCTTCAGTAATTCAATCTGTGATCATCGTACCGAAAGATGACCCCAAAGTGCAGTCACGTGGAATAGGGCTAAAAGGATTGCTGCGTCTAACATATATATAGATATTTGGGGATTAGTTGCACATCTTATGATGCTGCTTCGAGTGGTCTCAAACTCTGCCACAAGAGCATTTGCATATTCAGTTTATTCAGTATGTGGTTACTTGTATTGATCAATCTCCAAGGATTTTTTGACCACCTTTTTTACATTCTTTTCCCTCTGTAATAAAGTTAGGAAACTGTCCTGAAGGTTGACATACCTCTCTAGTCACTGAACTCTACACACACTCTTTCTTAAGACTTTGATGGGTCTTTATTTTCTTAGTGTGATTATCAGTGGGCAGCTTCCTAAGCAGCATGACGTCACTCTGCAAGGCATTTTTGGTTTGTTTTAAGGGCCGTGTTTTGAACGAGGCACCAAGAGCACTGGGGATAATTTCTCGACGAGCTGAAATAAAGGGTTAATTTTTCTCTCGTTTTAACTCCGCCAGGCAAAAGTAGACAACGAAATACTGGATTACAAGGACTTAGCGGCCATCCCCAAGGTCAAGGCAATTTATGATATTGAGCGTCCAGACCTCATTACCTACGAGCCATTCTATACTTCAGGCTATGAGGACAAACAGGAGAGACAGAGCCTTGGAGAGGTAACGGATTCCCTGGGGCTGCAAACAGCATGGCCACCCATCACTCCCTTCTCATCTGTTTCCAGACCTTGCCTACCCTCTGAAGAGTTCTGTACCTGGTTCTTCAAGGTTCTCGAACTCATCCTATGACCCTTTTGTCTTTCTCTGACCCACCAGCCAGCTCCCGAATAACAACAGAGACTTTTTATTAATTACGAAACCCTTTTATACCAAGTCTTTCTCTGTCCCGCCAGCCAGCTCCCAAATAGTGACAGAGACTTTTTATCGCCAGCCAGCTCCCAAATAATGACAGAGAGTTTTTATTAATTATGAAATCTTGGTCATTAGCCTAGGCTTGTTTTTAACTAGCTCTCACAACTTAAATTAACCCATATTTTTATTAATCTATGCTCTACCACATGGCTGTTACCTCTGTCCAATTCCATGTGTCCAGCCCGCCCGTTCCTCATCTCTCTTGCTTCTAGATTCACCTCCTACTTCCTCTCCCCAGCCCAGAAGCCCCACCTACACTTCCTGCTAGATACTGGCCATTCAGCTCCTTATTAAACCAATCATAGCAATGCATCTCCACACTGTACAGATAGCCCACAGCACCCTCGTCTTAAAGGAGGGTGCAGAGAGGTAGGCGTGTTAAAACAACTGCGAAGGATGAGTTTGATGGGGGTAACATGCTGGGGTGGAACCTGAGGTGGTGGTGAGGGAGGCAGGGTAGAGAAGGGGGCCCGGGGGAGGGGCACTGTTAAGGGAAGGAGCATCTTAGGGTATCTTGACCTTGGGATAAGCCGGAAGTGTGTTTCTAGGGGTCATGAGAAGGGAAACCACACCCTTGCAGTTTTAGTAGATTCCGTTTCCAGCATCTCAATGGAGGGGGAGTATGGAGAGGGCACACTATGACAGCCTTATGGGTGGGGGTTCCTGCAGTCAGTTGCTGGAGTTCAGCCTAAAGGTGTCACCACAGGCTGGTTTTTGACTGTCACGTGACAGCCATTGTGATCCCAGTTTCTCACCAGGAAAACAGAATAATGTTGGATAGATCCCCAAAGGTGCCTGTGTGAATTAAAGAAACTGTGAAGATCAGAGCATGCTCAGCGAGTGTTAGGCACATATATGCTCAACGCATGCCCAGAGCATGCTGGGCACATGGTAGGCACATACTAGGCACATGATAGGCACATGTTGGGCACATGCTAGGCTCATGATAAGTACATGTTGGGCACATGCTAGGCACATGATAAGTACATGTTGGGCACATGCTAGGCACATTCTCAGCGTGGCAGTAACCATTGCTGTAGCTGTCTTCTAAGGCTTATTCGGGCTGCAGGCCCCCCCTTCTGCTGGGCTAGAGCCTCTCAGCCTAGACGGCTCCCTCCCCTCTACCTTCCTGGGGTTGGAGTTCCCTTCTGCCACCTCCTGTCCTGGCCCTTTGGCTCCTCCAATTTATTGTCTTTGTTGTTATTGTTACAGCTGGAACAGAATAACAGACATGTGCTTTCCACAGCATGGCCTTCATGTCCCTGCTCTATGTTACTTATTATTTAAATCAGAGCCATCTGTGGCCTGACTGGACTCCAGAGAGCTGTTACCAAGTAGTGGACTTACCTCAGCCCTTCAGCCACGGTTAAACCACATTGTAGTCTGTAGCCTGCCACCGTGCTTCTGGACTAACGTGAGATGAACAAAAGGCCTTTGGGACAGTAGGCAGAGGGATCGTGTAAATTCCTGTCTCAATACCGCTCCCCAAAATGCAGTGACTAAATTCAGTTTAACTCCAGTTATTTCTAATGCGACTTTTATTCTGGAGTGTGGACTGCATTAAGGTCCCCAGTCCAGCGAGAAGGGACATGCATTGTCACATAGCACCACCTGGTGGTTCACTTGCTGCATCTGCAGTCAGAGATTGGCCTAAGCTACCATTGGATCTCAGAATCTCAGCAAGTCATGGCCAGGGAAGCTTCCCAAACAAAATACGTAGAGACTGGCCTTAGAGTCGGTGGTCAGGGATTTTTCTCAAGTTCAAAGCATACACCCAAGAGGAAATTGATGCTTTTTTTTAAAGAAAATAATGTTAAGGGTGTGTGTGTGTGTGTGTGTGTGTGTGTAGAATACACACATGCATGCCACTCTTGGGGGGGGTGGTGTGTGTGTGTGTGTGTGTGTGTGTGTAGAATACACACATGCATGCCACTCTTGGGGGTGGTGTGTGTGTGTGTGTGTGTGTGTGTGTGTGTGTGTAGAATACACACATGCATGCCACTCTTGGGGGTGGTGTGTGGGTGTGTGTTGTTGTTCTCTTGTGTTGTGTTTTCCCACTAGCTCCCTCTGGAGCAGCAAAATGTCAAGCAGAAATTTGGCTTTGAAATGAAGTTTGGGGCATTTAAAACCTGGCTGTGTGCAACTTTGGAAAGCAAAGTTGTCAGGTTTTCCATAAGGAATGAGGCCTTTAGATCAGACCAATAAGACATCAGACAAAGATGCTCAGCATCCCGCCAGGTCTCACGGTCCACTCTGTTATGTGCTAACCTGCAGTGGTGCCTGTGTCTTTCTTGGTACACAGAGGATGCCCCTATGGGACAGAATCAGATGCATTAATAAATTACCTTTGGAGGCATGGATCTCACCACTGAATGAACATTACAGTCTATTCTGTTACTTATTCCATTAGTTGTTATTCCTGTTTTATAAACCCATGCATTATTGTGAGGACCCAGAAGGGGTGGGGAGGTAGCTCGGGCGGTGGACTGCTTGCCACAAAGCCTGTGGACTGAGTTTGATTCTCAGACCCCACACAAAATGCTGTTTGGCAGCGTGTGCCTGTGACCCCGGTGCTGGGGGGTGGAGACGAGGGTGCTTGGGGTCTGCCGTCTGGCAAACGTGGACTGGTGAGCCTGCATGTCCAGTGAGAGAACTGTCACAGAGAACAAAGCAGTTGAAGAAGACACTTGACGTTGGCCTCTGGCCTATACTTACACACACACACACACACACACACACAATCACACAAAGTGAACTTAAAATTTGGTGTAGTATTATCACATGTCTAAATTACATGAGTGGTGAGTGGGTGAGTCAAGAAGCCCACCACGGGCAAGTTCATGCCTCCTGCAGGCATGAGAAGGCCATCCTTACCCATCAAAGCTTTGAGCTCTAGGGATAGGATACAGGCCCTGAGAAGCTCGGTGAGTAAGGTAGCCTGTCAGCTCGCTAGTAATATGGGAAAGGAACAAATCCTACAGGCAAGAGGCCCTCAGCTCCACCTTGCTCAGGCTGAGTCCTCGGAAATTCTGTCTATAGTTCTAGCTGAAAGCCTTTTGTGTTTCGGTTGTAAAACTTTCACTCGCCCCCAAAAATTAGTCCCTGATGCTACCCACCCTTGTCGCCAGGAGCACACCATTGTAAAGAGAGTCAAGCAGGGGCAGTCTGCAGAGATGCAGACACACGGTGAAAATGTTCAGGGAGTCAATTCAGTGAGCGGGGATCACAGGAGGTGAGTTAGCAACAACAGGGGGATCACAAGAAGCTAGTTCAGTGAAGGAAAGTGTGAAAGGGATCACAGGAGGTGAGAAGGTGTGAACAGGGATCACAAGAGGTGTGAACAGGGATCACAGGAAGTGTGAAGAGGGATCACAGGAAGTTAGTTCAGTGAAGGAAAGTGTGAACGGGATCACAGGAGGTGAGAACAGGGATCGCAGGAGGTGAGAACGGGGATCGCGGGAGGTGAGAACGGGGATCGCGGGAGGTGAGAACGGGGATCGCGGGAGGTGAGAGCGGGGATCGCGGGAGGTGAGAGCGGGGATCGCGGGAGGTGAGAGCGGGGATCGCGGGAGGTGAGAGCGGGGATCGCGGGAGGTGTGAGCGGGGATCGCGGGGGGGGGTGTGAGCGGGGATCGCGGGGGGGGTGAGCGGGGATCGCGGGGGGGGGGTGTGTGAGCGGGGATCGCGGGGGGGGGGTGTGTGAGCGGGGATCGCAGGGGGTGTGAGCGGGGATCGCGGGAGGTGTGAGCGGGGATCGCGGGAGGTGAGGTTAGCAACAACAGGGGGATCACAGGAAGCTAGTTCAGTGAAGGAAAGTGTGAATGTGATCACAGGAGGTGAGAAGGTGTGAACGGGATCACAGGAGGTGTGAACGGGGATCACAGGAGGCGAAATGAACAAGAACAGGGGGAGATCACAGGAAGTTGGTATGATAAAGAAAAGCACCAGCAGGGGATTACAGGAAGCCTGAGGTGACTTTGAGCCCAGACCTCACTGGAGCTGAGCTCTGCAGGTGTCTGCAGGGCAATACCAATGCAAAGACCCCGGGGTGACAGCGCTTCACCCGTCTATCAACCCTAAATGATGGATGCTGGAGGTTGTGTGACGTGAGCAGCCATCACACACTGACCAAACTAATCCTACTGTAATTGCTGTGGCTCTGTGTTAGTTAAAAGCCATACTAACAAAATCCTAACCACCAAACACAAATAGTCAGAACTAGTTTCACAACATATTCATTAACACCACGGTCCTTGGGTAGAGACATTCTTATGTCTCCTGGGACTTGACTGGAGTTTCCCATCAGCCCCGCTGCACGCTTAAACCAACAGTGGATGCCGACCTGTTTCTGGAGCAATGGTTTTAGGTTCCGTGAGTAGCTAGCTCTATGAAAACTGTTAGGAAATTAATGAAGGTGTTGACTTTAAATTTTCTCTTGTTCTTCTAGTCTCCAAGGACTTTGTCTCCTACTCCATCAGCAGAAGTAAGTATCATTTTGGCCATATTCTTTTGTGGGTGGAATTGGGAAGGGCTAGGACCTTGTCTGTCTATACTTGAAATTTTGAAAAAGTGCTTATGTACTAAAGGACAGCAGCGTTGAATATGATGATTATTTTAAGGATTGCTTTACATGCAAGCCTACCCCACTGGTAGGAACAGAGGCCGGCACATGCCTGCAGGAACTAAAGCCATTGTCCAGCGTGGGTCTCTTGGCCCATCTGCACTTAAGGCGTATTAGACATATTAGAATGCCTGAGGGGGCTGGAGGTAGTTACAGCGTAATCTCTAAACTGACACGCTGCTTGAGTCTCCTTTTCTGGACTGATCCAAAGCCAGACAGCTTGCTGAATCATTGTCGTGTTTTTTATTTGTTTGTTTGTTTGTTTCTTATGGGAGACAGGGGAATGCAAAGAGGAAGGGTAGGCAGGTTGTATTTGAGGATACAATCCACAATCCATCAAGTTGGGAAAAGCATGGTTATAGAAGCCTGAGGCAGCTGGTTTGGTCCCATGGCAGCCTCAGGAAGCAGAGAGAGATTAATACAGGTGCCCTGTCTTCTAGTCAGTCAAAGACCCTTCCGTGGAATAGTGACAACCACATTGTGTGTGGGGGGTTTGTCCTTCTCAATTAAATGCTCCTAGAAACCCTCTCATAGACACACCCAGACTTGTGTTTTCCGTGGTGATTCTAAATTCTGTCAATGACAGTGAAAACAAACCATCATGGGATCTGATGAAGGGAAGCCTGGGAAGGGGGGCACCTGGGGAGAGGGGACACCTACGGAGGGAGATTTTGGGGAGGAGAGACACCTTGTAAGCTCTAAAATCACAGTACCGATGTGATTGTGGGAACTGTTCTTTTCCTAGCGCTCAAGCCCTGTTGGCATTTGTAGATTTTATACCTTAAATTTTAAATACTACAAAGACTATTGATTATGAGTAAAACACATTAGCATGGAATATCCATGCCCGTGAAGATTTACTGACTGTAATCCTGAAAGGCAAACACAGACACTCAGAGAGGCAATTCCCCAGTGTCCTCTGTGGACTGACTTTTACCTAGAAATACCAAACAACCACGGAGGGGCGTTTTGTCTCACACTTTCTCAAACTTCACTGCAGGGTTACCAGGATGCTCGGGATCGGATGATCCACCGGTCCACCAGCCAGGGCTCCATTAACTCCCCTGTGTACAGCCGTCACAGTTACACTCCAACCACTTCTCGCTCTCCACAGCATTTCCACAGACCTGGTAAGGCCACTCTTCTCGGGATCTGTTACATACTAAATGTGTTTTTGTGTGTTTTTCATGCCATTGGTAGCAAACAAAACAAAAAACCTGACTTCAATATTTTTAGCCCTCTCCAAGAACAAAACAGAAACTTGTGTCCATCTTTATTTTGTATTATGTCTTTGAAAAATCAGTCCATCTATCAGTGTGTTCACTGTGAGTTATTAAATGACATTTTGATATTGACCTGCTGAGAACAAAGGATATTTGTGAAGAATTGGTGGAAATCTCATCCCTATGAAACTTAAAACAAAGACCTCTGAAAAAATGTTTTTCTTTTCCCATTTTCTCTGAATCATCTAAAGCCCAATGTTAGCCATTAGTTGGAAAGTTTAAAGCCCTCCCCCGGCACACGATGTCACAGTGACTGCATGATAAAGCCCTTTCCAGAGTGAGGCCAGAGAGTCCCATTAGGTACTTTAAGTCTCACTCTAACCCTAAGAGTTGAAATGAAACTTGGAAAACCTGAAAGCCTCAGGGATGGAGTGGCCATCCTGTGGCAGGAGATGGTGGGCTCCGATCTTCAGAGGTGTCAGTCTCTGTGGCTCTAAGTGGATTTCTTGTGTGTGGAGTAGAATGAAAGCCTCGGCAGAGGTCCAGAGTGCTCTGAGGAAGAGTCATGGAGAGGCTTCTAAGAGAACTTGTGATACTATGTATCCAAAGGACTCCCTCTCAGGCTGAGAACTTGTGATACTATGTATCTAGAGGACTCCTTCTTAGACTGAGAACTTGTGATACTATGTATCCAGAGGATTCCCTCTCAGGCTGAGAACTTGTGATACTGTGTATCCAGAGAACTCCTTCTCAGACTGAGAACTTGTGATACTGTGTATCCAGAGAACTTCTTAGACTGAGAACTTGTGATACTATGTATCCAGAGGACTCCCTCTCAGGCTTGATACTATGTATCCAAAGGACTCCCTCTCAGGAGAACTTGTGATACTATGTATCCAGAGGACTCCCTCTCAGGCTGAGAACTTATGATACTATGTATCTAGAGGACTCCTTCTTAGACTGAGAACTTGTGATACTGTGTATCTAGAGGACTCCATCTCAAGCTTCTTGTTGCTGGTAGGCTAATAAGAACAAAAGCATCCACATGCTAGCTTTTAAATAAAATATCCAAGAATTAAAACCAACAAGAACGATCAGAATAGAGAAGGGCTGCAATCTTCCCTTCAAGGTCATAGATGTAACTCACCCAGAGGACTGAACTATTGGTTCTTTCAGGATATATCAGTTTCGTCAGACAAGGCTGGTCTGTGATGTGGCTGTATAAAGTGTTTGCCTACCGTGTGTGAAGCCCTGAGTTTAATTAAGCAACACAAACACACACACACACAAACACATTTTTTAGTATTTATTAAATTATGTTAAATGATGTTTTCAGGATATTCCTTTTCAGTATACAACTATGGTCATTTTATTTATACCTGGTCATGAGTTTTTATTTAATCTTTTGGTAGCTTGAAATCACTTAGGTGCTACTGTACATATAACATGCTGAGACCACTAAATCCTGTCAGAGTGGAATGTAGCCTCAGGGAAATTGTCCTTCAAAAGCATCTTGAATATTGAGGGAATGGCCACTGAGCACAGTTATTACTTTAAAAGCCCCTGACTGTGTTGAGCATAAGGAAGTTTTGCTTTTTTAGTCATGGTTTTGATGCTACAGCCTCCAGAACATTCTTTGCCTCCTCTCCAAATAGCACACATGTGCAAGACACTGAGCATTCAGACTTAAAATGTTTCTGGTGCCTGGAAGTGAAACCATTAACATATCTGTATGTCTGTGGCGTGACCACGCATCCACCCTGTGCATTCTGGATGCCAGATCATGTGTGAATCCCCTGAGTCCATGTTGAGTTTTGATGGCCCATTATCCCCTTGAGCAACTAAACTTCTGCCTCCAGAGTCCCCACTACTGCCAGTGTCCTGTGTAACTCTGCCACCCAGCTAATACAACAGGGACTTCCTCATGCATAAGGAATATGAAATAAAACACAATTTCCAGTAGGATAGGCCTGCAGCTTAAAAAGCAAAACAAAACACGATTCTTACATATCAGTACATCTCTTCAAGATCCTTGAAAATGATTGCTGTGTTTACACAGGTTTCTGGGGGTCATGTTGTTGGATACACTTTAAAAGCAGCTGCTGAGTCTATGTGATGTGCTCAGCCCTCGCAGTGTGTAGTTGGCATTCCCATGCCAGTGTCCCAGAGACCATGTTCAAGAAGCCATTTATTCCTAGAGGTTGACTCTGTGCCCACCCGTGCCCATCTGCCGATTCTGCCTTTGCCCAGCCCCTCCACGGGTGTCCTCCTAACCCTCTGTCCTTCCTCCCTTTTCAGACTCCGGACTAACACTCTTCATTTCCTCCCCTACCTTGGGCACCCGCCCTGCTCCTGTGTTAATTTCTGTCTTCTCTTTCTGTTTCCACCTTGCTCTGCCCCGATTGGTTGATTTCCCTGCTGCACAGAGCTTTTGCCTCCTGGTGTGCACAGGTGGTCCCCCCCTGCGCACCAGCAGCTTCAGCTCCGCCCACAGTGACTCCCGTCCCAACCCCCCCCTTCAGACACCACTTCCTCCCCCATGTCAAAGGTAAGGAGGCAGGCCTCTGCAGGAGGCGGGGCACCTGGCCTGCACAGTGGAGATTTATTAGCACCCCACAAGGCTAATAAGATGTATCTCCAGGAGTTAGAGCCACCGAGCTTCTGACCCATCAGCATGCCTGCCCGTGCCCTGACTGCCCCTAACTGCGGCCTTAGAACTGGCATGGTATCTGGTATCCAAAGAGATGCGTCATTTCCAAGAGCTCTGTACCAAGAAACGGGGTGTGTACTTAGGAACTAAGATCCATCTCCTACCAGTTGAAAAATATATTATTATTTTGTCTTTGTACGCATCAGGGGCAAAATATAATATATACCAGGGTGTTTTCTTGGGTTTCATTTGTGATATGTTTCTGCAAAGCACAACAGTGTTGAGGAACAGACAGCAAAATGCTGTCCTCATGGTGATAAGGCATTGAACTACTTGAACATGTGTGGATGGCGTAGCTACTATCTCTCCCTCCCTCTTTCCCTCCCTCTTTTCCTCCCTCTCTCCCTCCCTCTCTCCCTCCCTCTCTCCCTCCCTCTTTTCCTTCCTCTCTCCCTCCTTCTCCCCCCCCCCCCTGGCAACTGACTCCGAGTCCTTTGATTATGATTTTTTTCCTAATTAATTTCTATGATGGATGAGACAGGCTCTGCCTCCTTTTCCCCATTCCCTGCCTGCCATTTCTCCCCTCTGCTGCCTGTGTGGCCTCTGGCTATTTGCTTCCTTCTTGTGTGTGGTTCTGTAAAACCTTTGCCCAGGGCTTCCACTTGGAGGAACTGAGAGCCTGTGAAAGGCCACTATTTAAGTGAAGGATCCCTGGAGGGATGCTAGCTTGTTGTGTTACCTTGATTCAAACCATAAAAGCCAACAAAAATAGTGTGAGGAGGAGGGGGAGGGGGAGAGGGAGGAGGAAGAGGAGGAGAAGGAGGAGGAGGAGGAGGAGGAGGAGGAGGAGGAGGAAAGTGCAGAAGTTACTGTGGATCTGAATGTGGTCTTCAAGGACTCATCCTGTGAGTCCTGGGTTTCATCGCACCCATGCACCTGTATCTCCCAAGTAGCTGAGTAGCCGGGGTGCTTCTCCAGCTCCTGAACACTCATTGTCAGTATCCCAAGGCTGTTGTAGCTTACTTGGACTCCTGAACCGTCAACTCCTGAAATGTAGGTGTGCTAGGAACTGGGTGTACAGTTACCCCACACGTTCGCACCTTCAGCATTTGCCCGTGCTTTGCAAACAACACAGTCGGGCGCCTAAGAAGATGGCTCAGTGGTTAAGCCCGTTTTCTGCTCTTGCAGAGGACCCAGGTTAAAGTGTCCAGTGCTTACATGGCAGCTTACAGCCAGCTCTAGGGGGTTCTGGTGCCCCCTTCTGGTCTCTCCAGGTACTGCGGGCACATGGTACACATATGTGCAGACACACACTCGTGCACATAAAAATAAGTTGTCGCTGTTGTTTTTAGCAAAATAATATGACCGACATGTGTTGGAGCTAGATACCATTTACCACTGTCAAATCTTTTGGGGTGGGCACAACACATTTCAGAAGTCAGAAGTCTTGACTGGCTATTTAAAACCATCATTGATTGTAACACACATTCTTTCCGCCAGCCTGGTCACAGTGCCGCATCAACCCCAAATAACACACAGAGACTCTATTAGTTACAATGCTGTCGGCCAATGTCCAGTCTTAATTCTGGTCACGAGCCTAACGCTATGGGTAAAACATGTACCAGGCAGGCGTGAGCACCTACGCAGTGGCAGCCATGATGGTGGGTGCCTGTAACCCCAGCACTGGGGAGGCAGACACGGGCAGATCCTGGGGTCTCACCGGCCAGCCAGCCTAGCCAAAATGGCGAGTTCCAGTTCAGTGGGAGACACCGTCTCAGAAAACTCAGGTGGAGAACAATAGAGGAAGGTGCCCAAAGTTGACCTCTGGCCCTTCCACTCTCACGCATGGGTGGCTGTGCCTGCACACCACACACACACACACACACACACACACACACACACACACACACACCTTGCCTGTAACTCTCAGCCCCAATACTGCGAGACGGTACATGTTGGTTTGTTAACTGCTGTTTTCACCCATGGGTGATGTTTCTTGTGATATGATATCCCCCAGGGTGTAGCTTTCGTATCATAGATAATCATTCTTATCTTGGGGGCGGTCAGTCTGTGCTGTGAGGATTCATTGTTCCTAAAGTCAGTTTATGAAGACTCCCAGCCTCTGAGCCCTCAGCACCCATGGGAGGACAGGACAGGACGGGTGGGGTAGGGGGTGGCTGCGCAGCATCAAGCTGGACGCCGACAGACAGGCAAAGATGACTGGCCTCCGTCCTGCTCTTGGTGACTTTGGAGACTCAAAAGAAAAGCCCGCGCTTTTAGAAACCCCTTTTACCTGGTGTTTTAGACAGTCTTGTGGGATATCTTAGGGGGCCATAGAATGAAATCTACTCTCAAAGACTTGCATGTGCTGCTAGTGGGTTCTGTTTTTGTTTTCAACAACCGAAAAGGTCAGTGGTTGTTGAGGGAGCACGAATCAAAAAGCAGCAGTGTCGTTCGTAGCTGGTGACAGCACTCCTCAGCCCCAGAACCTTCTAGAGTCTTTACCGTTACTGGAAGGTGAGGGGTCGCTCTCGCCGCCTGACACCAGAGGGTCCTGTTGATGGAGCCTCGGAGCTGTTATCTGCCTTTAGCAACCTTCACGTGCTCAGGTGCTTTCAGCGGCCATGCTTGATCACTATGGAGACACCTTTTCCTGGATGCTTGTCTGACCGAACTTGTGAAAGCCCTCTCCCGAATCCAGTGATCTGCGGGGACACGGGGGTTGAGGGTGGATCCAGGGCAATCCACAATAACACTTCCATGGGTTTTGGTAGTCCTTGGTGTTCTGGTGTGTTCTGAGGACATACTGCTTGCTCAGATGTGGGGCAGGAAGACAAAGTAGGCCAGTTGTTCATTTCTTCCTGATTCTGCACATGCCCTTCCCTGCATGCCTGGGACAGAAGGGAAGGAGGGTGTGTGTGTGTGTGTGTGTGTGTCTGCACTCGAGGATCTTGCAGCTAAGCTCCAATCCTCCACGCCCCATGGATAGTGTCTCCTCCATGGACAACCTTCAGTGTTGTAATTTCATCACATCCTAGCCCATGACGTCCTAGGTCTCTAGACGGTTGCCTTCCAGCTTACCTGGGACCTTTGTCTCCAATGCCCTGCTCCAATGAACTCCCTAAAGATCTGTGGGAGCCTGCTTCTCCCTTGTGAGCTTACGTATAGGTCCTCTGAGTGAGCAGGTACACGGGTAACAATAGCGTGGTCGAAGACGCGGGAAGTAGAGATGGGATCTGTCTCCTTCCTGGATGTGTATGAGCGAGTGTTCAGTTAGTGTGTTAGTAATGGAGACAGTGTTCGGTTAGTGTGTTAGTAATGGAGACAGTGTTCGGTTAGTGTGTTAGTGATGGAGACAGTGTTCGGTTAGTGTGTTAGTGATGGAGACAGTGTTCGGTTAGTGTGTTAGTGATGGAGACAGTGTTCGGTTAGTGTGTTAGTGATGGAGACAGTGTTCGGTTAGTGTGTTAGTGATGGAGACAGTGTTCGGTTAGTGTGTTAGTGATGGAGACAGTGTTCGGTTAGTGTGTTAGTGATGGAGACAGTGTTCGGTTAGTGTGTTAGTGATGGAGACAGTGTTCGGTTAGTGTGTTAGTGATGGAGACAGTGTTCGGTTAGTGTGTTAGTGATGGAGACAGTGTTCGGTTAGTGTGTTAGTGATGGAGACAGTGCTCAGTTAGTGTGTTAGTGATAAAAGTGCCGGCCAGAAGGAGCCTTCCTTATCTTGGAAGAGAGCACAAATAGTCCCCAGCTATCTGGCAAGCAGGGGTCTAACCCCATCTGTACGTGTTAGAGCGCTATAAACAGAAACATATGCCGCCATGAAAGCACTCTACGTCATGGAGGGAAAGGACTGGGTGACCGACTGCCAGGGTGCCCAGCCTTAGCCTCACATTAAGAGAAACATATCCCAGTGGCCAGTCTCTGCCACCATGCCTGGAAGGAGCCGGGGCCTGCCTGCACATCCCGCCCACCTACATGCCTGGGATTCCGCATCTGATGGCGGCCTGCCCTGTACCTCCCCCCACACTTGCCATCTCATCGGTTTGCTTTGCTGGAGCTCAGGGCCTCCACCGCATGCCACTGGAATGACGCGCCCCTGACTGCTGGCTGCTTTGAACCTGGTCCGACCCAAGCTCAAACCTCCCCCCTTGGAAAACTAACCCCGATGCCATCTCTGCAGGCCAAGTTGACAAACTGATGTTTGTTTCCTTCGTTTGCCTTTCTGACATGCCCTCCTTCCAGCCTGTTGTGTTGGATTTTGATAGGCTGCTTGTTCAGTTCCCCTCATTGCCCTCCCCTCTCTCATTCTGTTTTTTTTTTTTTTTCCGTTCTTCTCATTGGAGGCAATGAGCCGTCCAGCGGCCGGAGCTCCCCTCTCCCTTACCGGCCCGACAGCCGCCCTCTAACTCCAACTTACGCTCAGGCCCCTAAACATTTCCATGTTCCAGGTAGGCGCTGACACGCGTGTGTCACGGTGTCCTGTCGCGGTGTAGAGTGTAGCCTTGTGCCCTCGTCTGTCTCCATTTCTCATGTCCCTTCATCAAGAGACACGCAGTCAACAGACACTAAATTGCAGGATCTGGCCTTCCGCATGCTCTAAACTGAAGTTGGTGGGATCAGATGGAAGGCCTAAGTTTTCAATTAAAATCACTTTTTTTTCCCACCACTGGGGATTGTACCCGGGTCTTGTCCCTGCTGTGTGAGTGCTCACCCCCTAAGCCACATACCCAGCCCTCAACCGTCCTTACAGAGATTATGAAGTGAGTGGCAGGCAGGGAGGGTAAAGGCCAGCAGAAAGGGCTGGGCTTCTCCTTCTGTCAGATCGTGGTTCACTGGTGCCCACAAGTTATCTTAAGAGCCATGTAACCCACAGTGTCACCCGAGAATGCCTTCAGAGTTGGGACACTGGGTCAGCTGGCTGGTGTCTCTGTAATAGGGCAGTGAGCAGCTCACCTGCACAGCTTACCAAAGTATCTTGCAATTTAGGCTTCCCACTGCCCTCGTGGTCACAGTGCTAACTACCACAGCTCAAATAATAACTTAACAGGTGGAAAACCAGCTGGGCACGGTGGCGCACGCCTTAGTCCCGGCACTTGGGAGGCAGAGGCAGGCAGATCTCTGTGAGTTCAAAGCCAGCCTGGTCTACAAGAGTCAGTTCCAGGACAACCAGGGCTACACAGAGAAACCCTATCTCAAAAAAACCAAAACAAATAAAAAAAAAATGGAAACCCCAGAGCCTGTCACTATCCTGACACTCAGGGTCAGCTCAGTCCATGAGAGCCTGACCGGCCATCTGAGGCCACCAGGAGTTTCATAAATTACCTTCTGGGTTCCTATAACTATGCCTATCTGGAGTCTCTGTTCATTTTTTTTTCTTTGAATTCTGAATTTACCCAGCAAATCCGGAAGTTGCAGTGAGATTAGAACCGCTTAGCTAGGACTTTCTTTAAATTTTTTTTTCTCATTAGTCTTGAAAAACTGTTATGTCCACTCAGAGATTTTTTTCTATATGAAGAATTCCCCTCCAGTAAGTACCTAAGGCAAGGGGAAATAGAGAGAGAACTTTGGAAACGTGGGAACATTTTTAGCCGAAGTGCCATGGCCTAATCAGTCTCAGCAGACACGCAGGTACCGCTTTGTAATGCTCTTTTTCTCTTTTCTCAGTTAGCACAAATCTGGCCTGCCTGGAGTAGGACTTTGTTCATCATCCCAAGTGTTGCTTCCCACATGGCTTTCCCATTGTTCCTGTCATTGACTGAAATCATAAATTGAGCCGCCGGTGACTCCCGGCAGCTCAATTTCCAGACAGTAGCGATTTGGGCGATTTGGGCGATTTGGGCGATTTGGGGATTGCTTCCCCGGCCCCCAAGTCTCCACTGCTACCATCGCTCCCTGTCTTGCTCCCATCTTCAGTGACGTCTGTGTGCGAAATAAATGGCTCGTGGATGAGAGGCCCCTCTCTGTGTGCTGTGAGGCATTACGAAGGCTCCCCCGTCACGCGTGTGTCGATTCGGTTCATTTCTGTAGTCTTTCTTCCCGTGTGCTTGGTCTTTGTGATACGACGGTTAGCCCTCTGGGTTACTTTTGCCCCTTTGGCTGGCCTGCGGGTTTTGTTTTCTTTTTCTCCGTTCCTGAGCTGGTTCCCATAATCACACATCCTTGCTTTTCATTTCCACAGATCAAGGGATCAACATTTACCGGAAACCTCCCATCTACAAGCAGCATGGTAACACTCCCTTTCCTCTGCTCTGAAGCGGTGGGGTCAGCTGGGCCCCTCCGCCCCCTTCCAGAGGCTTTCCCAGTGCAGTTGGGGAGGACTCAAACTGGGCCACGCTGCGTATTACGTACACCCTTGTAATCCGACAGGGTACAGGTGCGGCTTGAAGCCCAGGTGCCTGGCAGGGAGCACTTAGCTCAGTTAGGACGCCTCTACCCGTTTCTGGCCTCACCCTGCCCATAGAAAGGGGAATTGCGATCACGCAACAAATAGCCCAAATAGCCTAATAACCTTTTTTTAGCCTTTGAATAATTTAACTAACTTTTTAATGAAATTTGATGAGCTTGCAACTAGCTCAGATAATTAAAGCTAGTAAACACAAACCACCTATGAAAACTACAATGCCTGAGCCCCAGAGCAGACAGAGCCACAAGCTAAGGCCCCCAGGGAGCCCACCCCACCCTGCTGATACAGGTGGTCCGTGGGTGTAAACCCTCTGTGTTGTAGTGTTCTCATCTGCGAGGACCGATACTTTAGAAGAGTGTGTCTCTGACATTCCTAGAAGTGAGGAATCACCTACGTGGATTTATTATTGCGTTTTCATTTTCTGAGGATATAAGTCTTTTAAATCAAGAAAACACACACACACAAACACACTATTTTCTGTGAGTTTCATTTTTTTTCTCCACCACTATCAGGCCTCTCTGGACTCATCTGCCACAAATCTGTGGCTTAGGTACATGCCCAAACTAGCTTTCTAGTAAGTTCTAAAAGTTACGCATTAATTGTGTTTGGAGATTTGAGGGCTGCCCATAGCATCTAGTCAGGAATAAGGAGAAATTCAGATCTCAGCTGAAAATAAGGAAACCTTCCAGACTAGCATTCTAGGGAGGGAAAAAGTATGTATTGTTTGGTTTTCCTTCTCTTTTTTATTTCAAGGTTTTACATACCATCCTTGCACTTTTAAGTTTATTAACATTGTTTTTGTTTTTGTTTTGTTTTTTATGGTTTAATGTCTCCCCACACACTCATTAACATGTGAATGTTTAACTCCTGACTTCACCAATTCTAATGCGTAAGTACTGTTGGAAGTCAAGCTTTTTTTTTTCCTTTAACAATAAGACACCCAGAGTTAGACTTAGCGGCTTACAGATGTCAATAAATATTGGCGTCTCTGTCCCTTAAACAACAACAGTGGGACAAGAACCAGGGAGGCCAGCTGGCATTGGGCTCCGAGTGGAAGGAATGGCTTGGCAATAACCGTTTGACCGAGGTCCTTGTTTTCAGGCTGCTGTAACTGATTGATCGCCCAACTAGAGAGCAACACTTTTAAAGGCATGTTCACAGAGCTCTGCTCCATGCCAAAGAAATAGATGTCATGTCCCGCACTAATAATACCTGTGCTCTGGAACATTTGCCAGAAGAGAAAAAAAAAGTCACTTTTCTTCCTTTTTACATAGAAGTCCTGTCTTGTGCTGACACTCTGAGCCTTCCAGGGAGGACACAGTGTTTCCTAAGCCAAGATTTTCCTTTCCATTAAAGTTAATGTTTCCTATCCAGCCAAGCCTCCAGCCCCTATTATTTGGTAACCTTGGTCAAGTCACAGGAGCGAATTGAAGGCAGGAGGTTACCAGAATAATCGGAATATTAAAAAAATGTTTCCAGATTTAAAAATATGTGAGCCCCAAAGAAAAATAATTTAACTTCAGCCTTATAGATAGGTTTCGAAATGCCAGGCCAGTTTGCCAAGTCAACCGAAATTAGGGCCAAACCGCTTAACCTGGTTTGTTTTGCTCCGATTCTGTGCTTGGGTTTGGGTTCGAAGCCAGCGAGTCTTCCACTGAGAATAGCCATTGCCAACCCTGGGAACTAATGTTGCTCGCCCGGGCTGTTCTCATTCTCAAGCTGGCCAGCTCACTTGTTTGAACAGACCCCTGTAAGTCTGGGTGGTAGCTATGAATCACACTGATGACTTGTAAAGCCAGGAGTGGATTCCTCCTAAGATTCAAAAACCCATATAGTGCATGTGAAGGGTTAACGAACTAGATTAGCATATCTGTGACTTCTGGCCCCCAAATGCAAAGCCAGCCCCTCCCTAAATGTTAACAACTACAGCCAAAGGCGGCTTCTCCTGCTTACACGCCTCAGCTCTTTATTCCCAATTTTGGAGCTCAGATTTCGAATTAACAAAATCTCTAATCCCAGGAATATTTAAAGATTTAGAGAGTGGACAGTTGTCTGATGGCCGAAGTTTTCAGAGTTCTAGCTTTGAAACATCCTATGAAGAGCAGAAGCCGTGTCTGGGGGGGTGGTACCAGCATTGCTTTGCAGACCCACAGCTAAGCATCCCTGGTTCCCCACCTAGATGCAGCTGCCTTGGCAGCCCAAAACAAGGCCTCGGAAGATATCATCAAGTTTTCCAAGTTCCCAGCAGCCCAGGCTCCAGATCCCAGCGAGATACCAAAGATTGAGACGGACCACTGGCCCGGTCCACCCTCCCTTGCCGCCGTAGGTATGCAACCGATGAGGCTAAGTCAGACAAACAAATTCCTAGAAGAGTGCAAAATGAACTATTAAAATCGTGCAAGGAGACGTCACAAAGATGGTTAGGGAAAATATGTAGACTAAGGGGTAGAATAGTTGAAAAGAGTGAATGGGGCTGGACGGTGGTGGCGCACGCCTTTAATCCCAGCACTCGGGAGGCAGAGGCAGGCGGATCTCTGTGAGTTCAAGGCTGGGCTGGACCAATAGCCTCTGAAACAATACAGAGAAACCCTGTCTCGTAAAAACCAAAAAAAAAAAAAAAAAAAAAGAGTGAATGGAACATCAGCGTGCATGCAAAGTGCTTAAAAGATATAAAACTCTGCCCACCCCACCCCCACCATGTCCCTTGTACCTAAAATGTACGATGACCCAGAGCTGGTCTAAAACTCACGGCTCGGCTGGACGGACTCCGCTGTCTGTTGAACACAGCTGGCTCAGAGCCTGCTGGCAGGAACATAGTCAGTTACGCAGGTTTTAGACCGCGTCTGGACGGTCTCACCCGCTGTTCATAGGCAGCCTTCACACCGAAGCCCTCTCCCTGCTCTGCCAAGGTCATCCTCTCCACTGCTAAGAGGGGCTGTAGTACCTACGCATTCTGGAGTGCAACCTCTGTGTGACTTTTCACATCTGTCCTTCCGTGACCCTGCACCCCAGTGTCACAGTGGAGCCATGCCATCCTTTGCGTTCTGCTTTCTAGTTGTGTCTGTGTCTCTACTGTTTTGTCATTAGTGAACTCACTCAAGCCTGTAGAAGTGGATTGCCCAGCCCGGTAGCTAAAACTGAAAATTAGATCAGTCTTAACAAAGGTTCAACTGTCCTCATTTCTGTTGGCAACCTGAAAAGCCTTCAAGTGTGTTCTAAAAATTCTTAATCTTCCTCACCAGGTTGGGTTGTCTTTTAGTAACTTACATAGGCAATAGAACTTCATTTTAAAGTAATTAATATTTATAGAAATAGTTGAAGAGAAATTTATTTTCATTATCCGCAAATATTCTATAATTAGGATGATGAGATGTACCTAATTGTACCTAATTCTTACAAACATTGGCCTATTGATTTTTATTAGTATAAACTAAAGAGAAAATCCACATTGGCTCTTTTTTTAAGATTTATTTATTTATTATGTATACAGTATTCTGTCTGCTTGTATGCCTCCATGACACAAGAGGGCACCAGATCTCATTACAGATGGTTGTGAGCCACCATGTGGTTGCTGGGAATTGAACTCAGGACCTCTGGAAGAGAAGTCAGTGCTCTTAATCTCTGAGCCATCTCTCCATCCCTCCACATTGGCTTTTTAAGCCTAATAATGAAGTGGCTGCCAATCTCTTCCCTTCAGTAAACTTTAGGACTCTGAGGCTTCTACCCCAGCTACATTGCTCAGTAGGGACCTTAAATTCAGAGAGAGAACATCAGTGTTGACCTCATTGTCACTAATAGTCCAGAGTTGCCTAGAATCTTAAAGTGCGGAAAATGCCTGCTTCATCATCAAAATAATGAAAAGTACAAATATCAGTAAATTTTACTAGTCTAAAAAGAGTTCCTGTTTCCTCAGCCAGGTTAATCTAAGTGATTTAGGGACAGCAACACTTACCTTGGCCTTCCAGTCAGACAGACAGACAGACCCCTCCTGGAGACCCAGAAGTGATGTCAGCTACTGCATTGTTCCAAAGTTGCTTGGAGCTGTGTTAACCCTGGTTTGTTTACCCGTTAGTAGTAAATTCTTTGATGTGAGGAAAGGAGAATGATAGACCCAGCCTTTACAAAGAAGCATAGCAACTGAGCTTTTTATTGGATTTGCTTAGGGCAGAAGAAAAAAGTGGCAGTTCATTTTGTAAAAGCCTAAAACCAAGAAAACAGGGAAACTCGCAAGTTTTAAAAGCTTGCCCAAGATAGCGACCGTCTCAGCCACTTGAAGATGCGTAGATGTTTGGATTCCCTGATAGTTAAAACTGAGAGGGGATATTTGGAGGTACCTGCCTCTCCACTTAGTGTTACACAAACTCTAGTGAAACGTTGAGACCCGGGACTCAGTTGCCGCAGCAAGCCAGGTCTGGTTCACAGACAGGTGTTGAGAGGCCGGAACCCCGAGAGCTTTACCCCTGCATCACACGCTGAACTAGCACAGCTCTCTCAGCCAAGCCTTGAGAAGCCAGCCCGTGGTGCTGAGTTGGTGATGGGCATCTTCGCCCCGGGGTACCGTGCCCTGTACCGCGTGGAAGCCTGCTAGACAGCCAGATGGACTAGACGGCTAAGACTCCTTTACCTCGGGGCTGATGTGAGAAGTTGTCTTTACTGTGGAACTAGGAACTGACACGAGGCGCAGATCTAGCGGCAGAGAGGAGGACGAGGAGGAGCTGCAGAGACGCCGGCAGCTTCAAGAGGAGCAACTGATGAAGGTTTGTCCGCGCGGCTGCCCCCAGTTCCGTTTCCTCTTGGCTGTGGGAGTTTGCTTGCTCCAAATAACTGCCGCGTGCACACCTCTGAGGGAAGCAGGTGGCGCTCCCAGGCCTTGAGGGCTTGAGATCCAGTAGGAGAAGCACGGCAGGCATCCGGGGATCCGAGGTGTGCTAGCCGTGAGGCTGGAGGGTTGGGGCTCGCAGAATGCAGGGAGCTCATGGCTGTGAGGTAGGCGTGCAGGTTGAAAGGATGTGGGAGCATCCCTGCGGGCCAAGATGGTGTCTACCCAGGTGTCATGCAGGTCTTGCTAGAGGGAGTTCCTCAGGATGACATATTGGTCCACATCTTCCCTCAGGACAGAGTAAATATCTGGGATGCCACCAAGAGCCGCCCCCCCTCTGCCCACTCCTTTTGGGTTCTTGCTTCTTGCTCTAGGACCTTTGGCATCTCAGAGTGCTAGTGAATTCCTGACTCTGACCAATAAGGGGCTAACAGAGGGAGCCCTTAAAGTGGTGTCCTCCACAGCTGTGAGGCATGCACATGGTGTCCCGTGAACAGGAGAAAGAGCCCAGAGAGCAGCACTGGCTTTGTGTGTAATGTGTACAGAACAGTGAGAGATGGGGTTTTAACGGTTTTTAAGGCAAACACTGCAATTTCTTGTTTAAGGATCCCCTAATCCATAGTCTCTCCCTCCTGTATCAAAGGCCATCAGATGTGCACACATGCGGAGGCCTTTGGGGGAGAGCCGAAGGAGGAAGGCGACCTTTTAATGTGGAGCCTGGCTTGGGGAAGAGAAGGTTTGCCAATGGAAAGGCTGGAGCCCCCATCCCAGCTCTTAGGGAAGCACAGGCTCCACCGAGCAGAAAGAGCAATAGTTCACGACAGTAACTGCATCGGGTTTCTTTTCCTTCTTCCTGTGGACAGCTCAACTCAGGCCTGGGGCAGTTGATACTGAAGGAAGAGATGGAGAAGGAGAACCGAGAAAGGGCGTCGTCCCTGCTGGCCAGTCGCTACGACTCTCCCCTGCACTCAGGTGAGCCACAGACCCCTGCCTTCTGCGCTCTAAGGGTGGTTGGAGCCACCTGCTGTGCACTCTAAGGGTGGGCAGAGCCACCTGCCTGTTGCCTAGGAGACAGGACCAGCTTGTATGGTCCTCTGACCCCTTGAGTTCCTTCCCAGTGTGAGATGCTGGCCTGTGTGAGTATGTAATGCTACAACTACGTAGGTCAGTAAACAATTTCAAAAAGATTGTCCCGTCCAGAGATGCAGGGGCGTTGAGCCTGAGATGGTCTGCCCCCTCCATGGCCAAGCTGCCTCTCAGATGCCTGTGCCCTCACGGATGCGATTCCGTAGCCCAGGCCAGCCCAGAGTCCCAGCTGTAGTCAGCTGGATCATCTCGGTGTCTTACACCCTTGGTTTCTGGGTCAGTTCCTGCTGCCATCCCATAGCACACCTGGAGTGTAGGCACCCGGTATCCTAGGCTTAAATCCTTTCTCTGCAGACTTCCTCAGCCTCTGTCTTTGAGTCTCCCATAACACGGAAATAGGATTGAGGGGTCAAAGTAAGAAGGTGCACCTAGTGCCTGTCTGTGGTGGGGAACCCCAGGGGCACCGCCAGCCTCAGCACCTGCTGGGTAGTGTGCCCTTCCTCCTCCTGCCTCTCCTCGAGATGATCACGTGTCTACTCGTGCACACTCCTCCAGAAGGCAGTGTGTTGTGAACACGGGACCCAGTATCACTTGAATGTGTTTTCCTAAGTCCTTGGATTGTACAAGATCACTGGCGATCTCACTGGAACACCAGAAAATTCTCTTACTTTTCTTCCTCACCCAGCTGCACATGCTCCGTCATCGAAAACTTCATCTCTCCCTGGCTATGGCAAGAATGGCCTTCACAGGGTAAGACTTCCCTCAGCTAGTGGTGTCTGTGTGTCTGTGTGTCACCAGGTAAGACTTCCTTCAGTTAGTGGTGTCTGTGTGTCTGTGTGTCACCGGGTAAGACTTCCCTCAGCTAGTGGTGTCTGTGTGTCTGTGTGTCACCAGGTAAGACTTCCCTCAGCTAGTGGTGTCTGTGTGTCTGTGTGTCACCAGGTAAGACTTCCCTCAGCTAGTGGTGTCTGTGTGTCTCTCCCTCCCTCAGTCTGTACTGACTTGTCATCAGAAGAGTCTGACTCCTTTCTTTGTGTGTTTTTACTTTTTGTTACGTTTTTTATTATTGTGCATGCAGGTCAGTAGGTGTGTGCACTTGTATGTGTGTGTGTGTGTTGCATACATGATGGTGCGTGTACAGAGCACGTACAGAGGTCAGAGGGCAACTTGTGAGAATCAGTCCTCTCCCTCCACCATGTGTGTCCCCCACGTTGAACTCGGGTCATCGGGCACGGGCACGTTCCTTTACACAGAAAACACCCCGCCAGCCCCTGAGAAGGTACAAGACACACTGCCACCTACCTGGTACATCACTTGGGGGTGATAAGCAAAATAAAATGCTTCTTTTTCAAGGAGGCTAAATTGGCTTCGAGTGGCCTGTGTAAGCATAAGTTTAAATTAAGCAACTTACAGTTTTTGCAATACGGCCAAAGGTAATCACTTGATTCATGATTGCGGTAAAGAGAGTTGGTGTAGTTAGAAGTTTCTTTCCCGCCTGGTCCCACTGCCGATTATCCCCAAATAAACACACGGACACTATATTAATTATTAAACTGTTTGACCGATAACTTAGGCTTCTTATTGGCTAGCTCTGTCTTAATTATTAACCCATTTCTATTAATCTATGCATTACCATGGGACTGTGGTTTACCTGTAATCCTGCATGCTACTCCTTCAGTAGCATAGTATCTCTGCCTCCCTCTCCCCAGCATTCTCCTCATCTGGTAGACCCACCAACACTTCCTGTCTGGCTGCTGGCCAATCATCAACCACTAAGAGAAACATGTATACGGAAGGACATCCCCATCAATTTGATGACAACCATCTTCCCTTACCAAGCCTAGAGTAATGACAATTGTGTAATCACTAGTTGTAATTTCTAGAAATACATTTTGTGAATGGGGCAGGGTCTCTCTATGTAGTCCTGGCAGTCCTGAAACTCAATCTGTAGATCTGGCTGGTTTTGAACTCACAAAGATCCACCTGCCTCTGCCTCCTGAGTGCTGGGATTAAAGGCACCTTTAGAAATACATTTGTATCTATAAACTTGCTCTATAAATGCCTTCTGGACAGTACCACAAATTGCAAAACACTGCAGTTTCACAATTTGAAGAAATAAGATAAATAATGACCATCCAGGATTTTAGCCTGGGCAGGATTCTTAGGACACATAAGTCTGTCCTCCCACCCCAAATCTAAACTGTCCACTGGATATTTCTCCCATGACGATGTCTTTCCTCATTGCAGCCGGTTTCCACAGACTTTGCTCAGTACAACAGCTATGGAGACGTCAGTGGCGGAGTTCGAGGTGAGGCTCCGAAGGGCCCTAACCATGACAGGGAAGCAGGGGAAACCGGTTATCACTCACTGCCCTTCTAAATGCGGAGCACTCTACTGAAGGAGCTTAGCACTAAGTGGAGTGTGGCCCCTGTCCCCAAAGGACATGTGGTGACAATATAGAGGGAGGGTGTTTGAATGATGCCTGGAGTTGAAGCTGGCATTTCCTGGCTTCAGGGGAAACCAGTGGTTCAGTGCATGAACTGATTAGGAGCACAGTTTGTTTGGGGCTGTCTTGGAAGCTGTGGTAAAATCACGGTGTTGCTGTTGGTGATTCCATGGTTCTCTGTTTTACTAATGGATTCCCCCACCCCCTTTTTCAGACTACCAGGTATGGATGGCTTTGTCTTCCCTGAGTCGGCCACACCAGACAGAACACTGATTCTCCAGTCCGTGCTGCTGCTTCAGGGGAGCAGTTTCTGTTGGGATGATGAATACGGTGGTTGGTTGTCTAACTGCTACTCCATAGCTGGAAGGAGCAGGCGTGCCTGGTAGCCAGGCCAAGCTGTCACTGCAGACCTTTTGAGTAGGGCATGAGCTGGGCCAGGTGTGAGAGGGCTCTCCTCTCTAGCTGCCCTGAGTTTGTCTGGGGGTAGAGGGAGTGACCTCATCGGCATGAGTGCAGATTTTTAGTTAACGGTCTCTCGGTGCTTAGGTGCGGCTTTTTCTTGGGTGTCCCCAAACGAAACAGGGCTCTCAGTCACTGGGAAAGAACCCAAACCCTTCCTTTTTCATCTTGTAAGACTGGGATTGGGAGTGAGAAGGGACAATAAATCCAAAGTAAGATAAAGACTGAAAAAGATAAGAGGGTGTGGCGTCACGTGTCCTGCAATCTCAGTACATCTGAGGCAGAAGACTATAGAATTCAGGGCCAGCCTGGGCTGCAGAGAGACAGACAGACACAGAAGGAAAACAATGGAAAAAGACCTCACAGGTTTTTTTAAATGTATGTATCCATCTACCCAGGCAGCCCAAATCAGAAAATATTAATCCATGATCTTTCTCCAACTTGATTACATGTCTCCCCTCTGTGTAAGGATCTCACTTTGAGAAATACACAGTAGTTAATATGACATGGTACGGGGATCTGAGACCCAACAGGAAAGCCAGGGAAAGTCAGTCCTTCCCGGGCTTCCGCTGAGAGTTAATGCTCACCACTGAGCAAGCATTTCTGTTGCAGACCCTCCCAGATGGCCACATGCCCGCAATGAGAATGGACCGAGGCGTGTCCATGCCCAACATGTTGGAGCCAAAGGCAAGTGTGACCGTTCCTTTCCTCTTGAGCAGGATTGCATGCGGTAGAGAGCTGTGGTTTCCTATCCGTTTGCTATGCTCAGGGTGCAAGGGCCACCTGGTCCCAGGTTGGCACACCCTGGCAAGCTTATCTTAGAGTGTTGTTATTCCTCTGTTTGTGCCACACCCAGTCAGCAGGTTTAAACCTTTGCTGCCCACAGTACTCTGCCCACAGTGAGGTACCCTATGACCTAGATGTGACCGTGAGACCCGCCATGTGCATTTCAAGGCACGTCCGATGCTGAGTGGAATGGCAGAAACCTGGTCCAGCTACTGTGATCAATATCGCCTAGTTTGCCGGAAGCTTCTTAGTGTTAGTAAAACATCTCGCATAGCGTGTTTTATTAGTCTTGGGCAATCTGACATGACTGGCTGTCCTAGCTCCAGAACATTCTGTGTCTGGTTGCCAGGCATGATGGAGCACACACCTTTAACCTTAAGGAGGGGAAGGCTGAACGGTCTGAATCTGAGGCCAGCCCAGTCTACATAGTGAGTTCTAGGCCTGCTCAGTCTACATAGTGAGTTCTAGGCCTGCTCAGTCTGCATAGTGAGTTCTAGGCCAGCTCAGTCTGCATAGTGAGTTCTAGGCCATCTCAGTCTGCATAGTGAGTGAGTTCTAGGCCTGCTCAGTCTACATAGTGAGTGAGTTCTAGGCCAGCTCAGTCTGCATAGTGAGTTCTAGGCCAGCCCAGTCTACATAGTGAGTTCTAGGCCAGCTCAGTCTGCATAGTGAGGTCTAGGCCTGCTCAGTCTGCATAGTGAGTGAGTTCTAGGCCTGCTCAGTCTGCATAGTGAGTGAGTTCTAGGCCTGCTCAGTCTGCATAGTGAGTGAGTTCTAGGCCTGCTCAGTCTGCATAGTGAGTGAGTTCTAGGCCTGCTCAGTCTGCATAGTGAGTGAGTTCTAGGCCTGCTCAGTCTGCATAGTGAGTGAGTTCTAGGCCTGCTCAGTCTGCATAGTGAGTGAGTTCTAGGCCTGCTCAGTCTGCATAGTGAGTGAGTTCTAGGCCTGCTCAGTCTGCATAGTGAGTTCTAGGCCATCTCAGTCTGCATAGTGAGTTCTAGGCCTGCTCAGTCTGCATAGTGAGTGAGTTCTAGGCCTGCTCAGTCTGCATAGTGAGTGAGTTCTAGGCCTGCTCAGTCTGCATAGTGAGTGAGTTCTAGGCCTGCTCAGTCTGCATAGTGAGTGAATTCTAGGCCAACTACAGCTACATAGCAAGATCCTGGCTTAATCAAAGCAGAACAAAGCGAAGGTGGTGTCCAGAGACTTGATGTCCTTGACACCTGTAGCTGGGACTCATTTCAACATGCCAGCTTCCAGAACACTGTTTTGGGCCCTGTTTGGTTGTATGAATTCATAAGTCTGTCATAGCTGAGAGTGTTGAGCCCTGCACAAAGTCACCCTGTAATCTAGTGGCATCATGTAGAGACAGCACACGTGCCGGCCACTTCAGATCTCTGCTAACTTTGACCTCCCTGACTCGGTCATAGTAAGTTAGTATTCGTACACTCAAAACACCGTTCCCAAGGCATAGTGCAACATGAGTCACTGGTGGGGAGCTGGGAATGTACAAGATTCTGTCCCTGTGCCTCAACACTGGAGGGTCTTCAAGCCTACTCTTGTTACTGTCTCCATCACGGGTGTGCTGGGCTTTAGGTTGTGCTCATGAATTAAATGGATAATGGTGTTCTAAGACAAGGTGTTTTTCTTTCTCAGATATTTCCATATGAAATGCTCATGGTGACCAACAGAGGGCGCAACAAAATCCTGAGAGATGTGGATAGAACCCGGCTGGAGGTAAACAAAATAAGTTCTTAACCTCAGTTAAGGATTCCTGTACATCTCCCACAACACACACACACACACACGCGCGCACACACACACACACGTGTGCACACACACACACACACCAGGGTACCTCTAAACAAATATAAATGTATATTCCAGGACAAACCTAAAGTCATGGGGACATAACAAGCAAACAAAAAAACAGTGTCACATTATGGGTGAAACAAAGAGCTAACTAGATCCTTGAGGATCTCCAGGAAATAAAACCATGGGATGGGAGTTCATAGCCACCCAGTCATCCTTCCCGGTAGTACTCAGCACTCCCTTAGAAACCGGAAGGTGGGGAAGGCAGTGCCGTCCTCAAAGTGTCTACAGTAAAGAGAGAGAAATAGGATGCTTCCACACCCAAGCAGAGAGGCCAGTGGTCCAGTGCATGCGCTCACATCTAACTCCACAGTTCGATCCGGGTGGAAAAGTGCCTGGTCACACTTATAATGCCCTAGAGACATGGCGTGGTTTCGTCATGTGTTTTGGAAATCAGATTGGTTAGGGCTGGTGTTGCAGCGTGGGCGTCTCTGTCACTCATAAAACAGTCCCAGGTTCATATCTGCCCCACCTTTATAGCTTTCTGTCTGAATGATTTTCTTTTTTGTTTGTTTTTGTTTTTGTTTTTTCAAGACAGGGTTTCTCTGTGTAGTCCTGGCTGTCCTGGAACTCGCTCTGTAGACCAGGCTGGCCTCAAACTCACAGAGATCTGCCTGCCCCTGCCTCCCGAGTGCTGGGATTAAAGGCGTGCGCCACCAACGCCACCACCACTCAGCTCTGTCTGAATGATTTTTAATTAAGAAACTGTTCTGTCTGCCCATCTCAGGGAGACTCAAGTCCATTCCCTAACACAAAGGAGTGCTTTTGAGGACGAGGTCAGGCTAGCTCAGAAGATTCTAGCCCGTGTTAAAATGGGGCTGCACAGGAGGTATGGCCAATGGGAGATAAGCGTCCTCCTCTCCTGGTGCTGGTCAGGAAGTTGTAGGGCTCTCCCAGGGACCACCCTGGAAGCCCCTTTCTCTGTGGCTGTTAGTATTATTGTCCGTTACTCCCTGTATCCTCTCAGTATGCCAAAGACCTGAAGTTATGGCAGCCACTTCCAGCATCACAAATCTGGCTAGCCCAGCGCTGAAGTGTAATAGTAGTGGCAGTAGCCTGCCAGCTGTTTCCTCCGGTGGAGAGGACGCCGTACCTGGCCATGTGTGGGAAACAAGCACCACAGAGAGATAGTCAGTCGCCTCTCTCTACCAGCCTGACTGGCTTTTCAGGATGGATGTCAGTGTCTCTCAGTTTCTGCAGGGAATCCATTCCAGGATACCCTCCCCCAAGAGACGACAAAAGTTTCCAGGATACCTTCCCCCAACAGATGACAAAGCTTGCAAGTACTTCCTCCCAATTTTAAAGAGCGTGATACGTATTTATGTATGTGTTGACCCCATGCATCATCTTGAATGCCTTAAGTCATCTCTAGGGGACCTGTACTGTTGAGTACAGAGTAAATGCTATGTCTGTAGTTGCAGCACCGTGTGGTTCAGGGCAGAATGATCAGGGACACTGTCGTTACACGCTCAGGTCAGATGCAGTTAGGGAAGGGACACTCGTGATCTATAGTGGATTGGATTGGGGATGCAGAAGTCACACCCATGGCTGGCGGGCTGTATTCGTAATCCGGAAAACACATCTCGGGGCCATTGCTGTGCCATTAGGGCTAACGCCTTCCTGCTTCTCTCTTGCCAGCGCCACTTAGCCCCAGAAGTATTTTGGGAAATCTTTGGGATGTCCATACAGGAATTTGACAAGTTACCTCTTTGGAGACGCAACGACATGAAGAAAAAGGCTAAGCTCTTCTAAGTTCTCCCCCAAATAACTGACAATCAGGACAAGGACTTTCAGTGGCGGCGCTGCCTAGAACATTGCATCAAGACCTGGAATCATCGATTGGAGAATTTATTCGCTAACCATCTCCCAGCAGCAGCACTGAGGGAAAGTCTGATCTCAGCACCCATGAGCCAGATCCCCGGGCCAAACAACAGTAACACCTGCTGAACAGCAAGGGGGTAGAAACTTCTGTGTTCCCAAACTCAGCAGTAACATTCACACATGACCTCTTCACGTGACTGTGTCCACACTGGGGCTTCTTTCTCCTTTATTCTCCCCCTTTAACCGATGTCTAACTTAGCGCTGCCTGTGCCTGTAAGAGCCGGAAGTGCCCTTAGGAAGCCCACGCGGGAAGGAGCAGCAGGGAGTCCTAAAGTATGGATCTGTTTATTTATGTAGCACCTTGGCTGAGGAGAGGCCAGCATTGATGTGGTAGCAAACAATTTAATCTTTCCTTGGCAGCCTCCCTCGGCTCTGCTGCCTGGGCCCTAGGGGAATGGAACTCTGGGAAACAGGTAGTTCTGAGCACGTGGTGGTTGAGTACCAGCAAGGACGATGGGAATACGCTCCTGTTCTCTTCCTGTGTGCCAGGACCTGGTTGGCCAACTGCTAGGGGAAAAAATTAAGAGAAAGGAGAAGGAAAAAGAAATGAAGGAAGCCCCATCACCCCAACCCCCCTGAACGTTGTTGGGTTTTTTTTTTTCTGCCTCTGACAATGTGCTCAGCACTTTCTCTTATAAACTGACAGGAGCTGGCATGCTCACCTTTGCATAGAAAGGAGAGGCAAAATGAGCCTCCAGATTGGTCCAGCTGCTGGTGGTGGGTGACTCTTGCCCATGAGTCGTGTCCCCTGCTGCCCATGTGGCATCTTATGGGTCAGGTCAGGCCCATGCTAGGATTGTGTTTCAGGGGCATAGACTACGGGAAGACAGGCTTTTCTCCTTCGTATCTGCAACTCTGCAGTAGACTGCTTCAGACAGATTTCATGTGGCCTAGTTTGTGCCCTGGCACTGCTGACATGCACTTGTGTTGTGTTGATGCCTGTGTGTAGCTCGCCCAGGGAAAGTTTTGTGAGCCTGTGTGCGCGCGTTGTACCCTCTGCTTGAATGACGGGGCCTTGGCACAAGAGCACGTGACCCAGATCAAGACTGAGGCTCTGGAGGGCGCCTAGAGACAGCACTGGGTTCCCCCTGCAGACCTCAGAAGGGAAGCTGGGTAGTTTGGGGCTCAGTGCATCTGTCTCACTAGACTCCATCCGTACTCCACAACTGCCAGTGCAAACTGGAACCCAGTTCTCTCATTAAAAGGTGTGAACGAGGCTGGGTCATCAGGACTGGGAGGAGTCGGATGACGACGTGTCTCTCCAGACCCCCAGGAAAGAGGTTAGGCCCCTCGATTCTTCTGCTCTGGGGCTCCGAGTTAAAGCCCAGGGGAAAAGCATTTGAATTCTTTCTCAGTCACCTCCCAGCACCAAAACGAAGACACTCCTTTGAGGATTAGAGTGACCGTCTGTCTGGCTGCCGACACCAGCAGCAAAGAACAAGTCACACAGCAGGCCTGTGATCTGTTTCTTTGGGTCACCCTGCTCCACTCCGGCAGGGCAATTAAGGATGAGAACTAGGCTCACAAGTCCACATATGTAGACCTGTTCGCACGCACTGCCTGAACAGCGTGTCCTGTGTAGAAGGGCCAGCTCCTCTCGGTTGGGAGGCGGGTTGCAAATGGTGGGGCCCCCCTGTTTTCATCGTTTTTCTCTCGCTGCTGCCCTGTCCAGCACTGGCGGCCTCAGCACAAGGCTTGTGTCACCCTGGCAGGGTGCAGGATGGACAGTAGGGTGCCCTCGGTGTTTCCCGGCAGGAGTGAGCAGAGGCGGCTTGCTGGGCGACTTTGTTTATCCAGTATGGAGATAGTGAGTGGCCCACCACGCTATGCACTGATTGTATGTTACTACTCACACTCACGCGGGTGAGGAAAACCACAGCACTCGGGAGACAGAGGCCTAAGCAGCGCAGTTGCTAAGATTCTGCACCTGCTCTGCACAAAGTTAACCTGGCTGTCTTGACATAGGGAGATTCAGCTGCAGGGGGTGAGGGACAGGGTCAGTCCTCCTCTTTATGTTACGGAGAACTTGGAGTGAGTTAGAGGACCTGCCTTGGGTGCAATGATAGCTGAAGAATTGAACTCCCAAGTTCTTGCAATAACAAAATAACAATAACCAAACCAAAACAAAACAAAACAACAACAAAAAAAACATCAGAACTCAGTGCCCCATCTAACTTGGGAAAATTTTTTTACGTTTCATATCAGCATACTAGTTCACTTAAATTGCATCGTGTAAAAAGATGTATTGCTAGAAAGCACCAGTAGGAACCCTGACCGCTCTGAGAAAGGACCATGCCAGGGTCTCACTCCATTCCCTTGCAGATTCCAGTCAGAAAGATACAGGGAGGGTGATCCGGTTCCAACTGCCAGACCTCAGGTCTGGGCTGCGGCGCCCTGTCTGTGATATTAAAGGCAGCCACATGATTTACCTTGCTTGCCCAGACCACAGCACAGGAGATGCATGTCCCTCACTTTACCCCACCTGCTGAACACAGGAAAGTCCCCAGTTGCCAACAACCCAAGCAGCTTCCTCACCTGGGGGAGAAGTCTACGTATGGCAGACCGGGTGCGCATATTAAGGGCTATGTTTCTTCCAGCGTCTGACTTGCTTGTGAAGTGCATACGGATTGCATGGCCTAGAAAGGCTTCTGTGGCCACATGGTAGCCTCAGTGCTTCCTCGAAAACCTCTCCAAGAGAGTCCGGACTCTCGTCGTCTTCCTGCACCACCTTTGAAAACAGCTAGCTCTGCATTTTCATACTCGTGTGGAGTTTGTTATAAGACATTTTTAATATGACTCCTTCAATAACTAAACACGTACTGCCTGCTCTCTGAAACCCCAAAGAGAAAAAGTGCAGTTAGTGGGTTCTAAGGTGCAAAAAAAGGGGGGGGATAGTTTTCTATCCGTTCTGTCCTCTGTTCTCCCCAAACCCTGATTCTGTTGCCTCCAGCCTGAGCCTTCTCTCCAGAGGCACAGCCCCACCTCTGCCAGTTCTTAGTCTATACTCGGTCACCTCCAGCGTGGAGAGGTTCAGCTGGCGATGTTTCCAAAACAGACTTATTTACTTTGAAGCAAACACCTTTTTCTAAAGATAGCCTCACCAGTGATGCTGTCAAATGTATCTGCTTTTGCAAGTTTAACGGAGTTCAGATTAACCTCTTTTGAGTCTTTGTTTCAAAAGAAAAAAAAAAAACCTCACGCAAGCTGAGAGCAGCGTTCCAGGGCAAGCTGCAGATGCCAGCATGCCTCCAGGCTGTGCGCTCCAAGAACCCTGCTCTGAGGATATTTCCAGTAGCTACTTAATCTGTGCTTTCTGCGTGCCCCTCCTCAACTTGGAGTCATGTTTCTTTCTTCTTTAGACAAACCAAGGCTTTGTATGCTTCAAGTTCATGTTTGTGCCCCCTTCAAAGACTTTTCTATCCAGAGAAAGACGGTCAGGGCTTTAGATTATGTCTTCCGGTGGCAATGTACAGGGAACAGGAAAATGAGCAAGGCTTCAGCCTCTACAAGATTGTGGTTCCCGTTTTCTTCCCACGGAGCAGAGGGAGCTGGTGACAAACAGACATTAGATTGCTTTCCCCTGTGCATTTAATGCTGCGGTGGATTCACAAAGACGGAGGGGACAAGTGTTCAAGTGGAAGCTTTCTAAGCCGGGAATGTGTGCACAGCGAAGTCCAGGCAAGCCAACTCTTTCTCCCAGAAGCTTGATGAAGTTGAATGGCAGTTATCATGAAATAAAATGCTTTTTCTGTGTCTCTTCCAAGAGTGACAGTCCCATGAATCACTTCCCACGAGTGAAAGAAAGACACAAGCCTGTATGCATTGACGTTCAGAAAGGTAATGATTAAAAATGCAAATATCTTACCTATGGAAGAGGAGACAGTTGTCCACAGAGCTGATGTTTGGAGGGGGGAGGGGGTGTCTCTGTACAGATGTGTCTGGTGGTAAATGTGGAGGTCTCCGAGAGATGCCAAAGACCCCTGCGTCGAATCTCGTCTAACGTGGTTAATGGGATTACTTTGACCTGCTGAAAGGCCCTCCCCACTCTTCCTCCCTCCCCCCCCACCCCCAACCCCTTGTTGCTGATAATGAAAGCAGATGCTCAGAAGTTGTTTTTGAGAAGCTGTGCTGTGTTCCCTGTGGAATCGAGGAGCTGGCGTGTGTCGGTGCCTGCACACCTGGCACCCGGGCGCAGAGGAGAGCTCGGCTGCAGGTGCCCTGTCCCCAAGCTGTGCGCTCTCCCAGCCTGCTCTGCACTCCTGTTGGCAGGCAGCACACCCCACTCTCTCATCACTGTACCCAACTCTGTGAATAAAGCTACGTGCTCCCTCCTTGAGCGCCTCTGGCATGGTTTTGTTTCCTGCTCCCACTGGCCGCCTTTGAAGGTTCATCCTATTTTCAAAGGCATCGCCCAACTTCCAGGAGCCAGAACAAAGAGAGGAGCCAGAGACACAGCAGGTGTGTTTTCTTTGTATGCGTGTGTGTGCATATGGGTAAGCATGTACAGGTGCAGTTGGTGTTAGATCCTCCCGTTGTGAGCAGCCCGGAGTGAGTTCTAGGACCTGAACTCTGGTCTCCTACAAGAGCAGCACACAAAATCCTAAACACGGAGCCACATCTCCATTCCACCTGGTATTTTCCCATCGTATTCACTGGTGACAGGACATGGATCAAACAACACAAGTGTTTTCCAGAAGTCTGTCCAGTCATTCAGGCCACAGAGACAAAGTTGACTAGAGATAAATTATCAACTGGTGTCTTAGGATTTTGACTTCTGTGAAGTAGACACCATGACCTCTGCAAGTCTTCCAGAGGAAAACATTTTGTTGGGGCTGGCTGACAGTTTCAGGGCTTTAGTCTGTTATTGTGGCTGAAGCATGGTGGCGTGCAGGCAGACACGGTGCTGGAGAAGGAGCTGAGAGTCCTACGCATTGATCCACAGGCAACATGAAGTGAACTGTGTCACCGGGCACAGTTTGAGCATAGGAGATTTCAAAGCCCACCCCTCCCCTGCAGTGACACACTTCCTCCAACGAGGCCACACCTCCTAACAGTGTCACTTCTTTGAGGGCCGTTTTCTGTTCAATGCCACAACGGGTACTCGGTGGCACTGAGGCTGTGAAAATCCCTGGGTTCAAGACCCACCCACAAAAAAACAAAACATCCAGTAGTGATCACAGCTAGAACTGATGCTTGACAATCTTAGATAAAACTGAAGACTTGAGGATAAAGCTTTGAACCACTGTGAGCATTGCAGTCACCTAGAACACAGTGGGGGGTGTCTTTCAATCCCCTACCTTGTTATCAACCCTTGTGTGAAGAAAATCTCCCTCCCATGGGAGCCAGAGACAGGCTGGTCTCCAGGGCAGTTAGCATGTTGGTTCGCTGCTCTCAGAGAACAATCTTTTTTTCCCTCCGAATTGTTCATTTAAACTAGAGACAAGCTTATCTTACATGTCAATCCCAGCTCCCTTTCTATCCCCTCCTCCCCTGCCCCCCCATTAACCTCCTATCCCATCCCCTTCCTGCTCCCCAGGGAGGGTGAGGCCTTCCTTGTTGGATCTTCAAGTCTGTTACATCATTTGGAGCAGGGCCTGGGCCCTACCCCGTGTGTCTAGGCTGAGAGAGCACCCCTCTATGTGGAGTGGATTCCCAAAGCCCATTCATGTACTAGGGATAAATACCGATTCCACCGTCAGATGCCCCATAGACTGCTCAGGCCTCCTGAAACTGACATCCACGTTCATGGGGGGTCTGGATCAGTCCTATCCTGGTTTCCCATGAGCTCCCCCTTGCTCAGGTCAGCTGTCTCTGTGGGCTTCTCCAGCCTGGTCTTGACCCCTTTGCTCATCACTCCTCCCTCTCAGAGAACCGTCTTGGCCGGGTCCACCCAGCTTGGCTCCCACCGGTACCGGTGCCTATCCCTAGCCTCACCACCAGGGGTCGCCTGTAGTTCTTGTCATGACCTCCTCGTGTCACCGGGCTCTGGCAGCCGCCTTTTAGTTTAAGTCACATCAGAGTTCACACAGAAGGATGTGTAGTGGGCAGCGGTCAAGACGAGGCCACCTCCCTCCCTGCATACCCTGCCTTTGACTCTACCCTTTCCTCTTCCGGACGCCCCATGCTTGTTCCCACGAGAGCAGCTTTGCCAGTGACGTCTCTTTTACGTACACCACCCAACTCCTCAAGGAGGTGGCCAGTGGGCTCTCCTGCCAGGGCAAGGGTGCCACGTCCGCGGCCAATGCTGTGACGCCACTTTCCCATCCACTCTTGAAGTTGTCTCTGGGAATTCCCTCTGGGCTCCACCGGGCTTGTGAGCATCCTTGGCAAGAGACAAGGCCCACATGAGCATCCTTGGCAAGAGCCTGTCTTTGGCCAGCTTGACCCTCCCTCCCTCCACAGTCCCTGGCTCGCCGGGGGCGATTCGCCACGGTATGCAGCGCCCCGCAGTGGCCGCCCCACTCCGTTAGCTCTGCGCGTGTCTGCTTTGCGGTTTCATGCTAGCGCCCCTCTCTCTGCTGAGTGACAAGCCCCGAAGCAGCAGTCCCCAGAGTTTCACCATATAGGTTGGATGCCGGGGCTCGGAGGAGGCTAAGCAAATATGTCCGTGGCTACTCAGCCAGTAAGTAGCATAACTGAGCGTCTCAGCTCTTGTCCCCTGCAAACCCCACGATGCTCTCCTTCAAGTCTGTGTCCTTAGGGCGAGGACAGTGTCTCACACAGCATCCCAGGGCCTGGTCCATCTGTTAACGGCCACGGGCTCCATCACTAACCACCACAGGACAGCTGTGGTTGACGCTTCTGAAAACTGCTTTATACTCAAGTCATTCAGGCTCCTCCAGCCCCAGTCTCTCGTCTGCGGAATGGACAAAAGAGGTGAGGGAAGCCCATCCAAAAGTCCACGCTAACATGTGCCGAGCACACGGAGCAGGGCCCAGCACACATGGGCTGCTCAGGAAGCCCCCCCCCCGTGATGTTTACTAAGGGGTACGCTGGCTGTTTAGACGCTCCCCGGGTCTCATTGTCTTCCTCGGTGAGCTGAAAGTGAACTATACGGAGGGAGGGCCAAGGCGGCGAGATAAAAGAGTCCTCAGGCTCCTGAGAACAGAGTGTGGGGAGACGGCGTGGAATGATGAGGGTCTCGGGTGGGCATGGGATGATGAGGGTCTCGGGTGGGCGTGGAATGATGAGGGTCTCGGGTGGGCGTGGGTGCTGCTGAAACCTTTTCCTAGGGGAGATGTTAGGTGAAGTCTACCCTTCCTTCCAAGATACCAATGACACACTGAGGTGTAAGTCCACCAGGTTCACTCTGGGAAACTGGTGAGTTTATTAGGCGTACAGGAGCACCGGGTAGGGTTGCGGGAAGGATCTCGGGTGACCTTGAAGTAGCCACACACGAGGAAGGTAGGGGCACAGCATGAATGATGCTCCCTATGATCACATAAATTGATTCCCCGTCCCTAATCCCCCCCCAGCCTATATATTCTATTCTCTCCTTGAGACTACCTGCAATTAGGGCAAAACTGCACACACTTGGTTGGTAGGAGTGGCTAGGTGCTCCAGCGAGGGTCCCAAGACCTCCCTGCCTCTCCTTCCATGAGGGAGTATCCACAAACAGTTACCTTGACCCACACACTGCTGTGGTGATCTTTTGCGAGCATGCCAGGGCGAACTCCCGAAGATGTCCTGTCCACCATGGGTAAGATCTAGTCCTTTTACAAAGGATCATTCCGGGATTTTCATTTCTCTTGTGAGTCTCCCCCTCCCCTGCCTGAATATGGAGATCCAGTTGTTAGAGCATGCCACAGCCTCACAGAACAGCAGCCTGCAATGCACAGCGGTTTAAGATGGTTTCCTGGTGACTAGCGAGAACAGAAAGCATCACGTAGCTGGACGCAGGGTGTAGCACCCGAAGCCTGGGTTTGAGCTCTGACTTTACTAATCACTGGCTGCATAGCTAATGAAGATTTACTTAACTTCTCTAAGTCTCAATCTCCATTTCTATAAAAGAGGAATGATAATTAATAATGCCTGCTTCAAAGCAGGACAAGACCTGGCATGATACAAAACAAGACCTTAGCCACTGAGCTTGTTAGCAGACTGACTGCTGTGTAGTAAAGACTGGGCACCCACGCCAGCCCCGACCTGATCTTACTCTGTGCTCTTAGGCTGATTCTTACACCGCCTCCCTGCTAGAGAAGGAAATGGCCCCAGAAAGACTGTGTCTTAGTCAGTATCGCTGGATGGTTGCCAAGGAGCCTAGGCCTGAAGGCCAGCCTCTCGAGTCTGAGACTCCGCCTCTCTTCACCCATCCCAAGGGATGTCCAGCCAGGGCAGCAGACTTGTGCAAAGAGGAGGCATCTGGACATGCTTCCCACTTCAGGGACGCTATGCAACACTACTGTGGGAGATGGCGGTGATTCATGGGAAGTCTTTAAAACCGTGTGGCTCCTCCCTTAAGCAGCAGTGTGCAAAGCTAAAAAGCCAGTGTTTGGGGTTTCCTCAGCTCAAGGAGGCTACCAGAGCTGACAGCTCCTCTTTCTGCACGCATGAGCTCACAGCAGCTGGGTCGTCGCCAGTCATAAGACCTACCCAACATCGTGCCAGCTAAAAGCCCAGCATACACAGGGGGCGCTCACAAAGTCCCATACCCATTTGAGGAGCTACTGGCATGGATGGGTCCTAAGAGGCTAACTGTGCTCCAGCAGGTGGCCCGGAATGAAACCTGTGCACGCGCAGGCAATGCTCAGTGACCTCAGTGCGTGCAAGAAAAAGAAAAAGAGAATGAGACACATAAAGATGGTGGGGGCAAGCAGTGGGTGGTGGGAAAGAATCTGAGGGGGGGGACGGGGGGGAGATGGCAGTAGATTTGATCAAAACTCATTATATGCATAGACAAACTTCTCCAACAGTCTTAAAACAAAACAAAACCTACCAGCTTATTCAGCCCCTCCTGCCCATGGCCGAACAGGGCTCCTCTCCCACACCCCTCCCAGAGGCAGACAGCCCCGCCTGGGTGTGGCCACCAGCCCTGCTCTGCTGGACGTGGTCCATTGTGGGCTAGGAAGCAACAAGGAAGGGTGGAGACTCTCTGGGCCTGGCAGCTCTGGGGAAAGCCAGTAAGGCTGAGGAGCGGTGACCAGAAGCACAGAGCCCCAAGGTGAGAAGCACACCTTACTTTCCTCTCCCCGTCTGAGGCCCAGACTCTAAGAAACTGCCCCCATCCTGCTGCAGATCTCGGGGTGCACCAGAGCTAGTCAGAGACAGAGGACGCTGTCCTGTGACCACATTTATTTTCCTTTCTACTCTCAGCTGGATAAAAATGATCTCCAGAGTCTGCCATTGTTCCAAGCACAATAGCAGGCCCTGGAGAGGATTTTCTGTATTTATTTGTGCTGCCCCCTGATGCTGCTGCAAACACCCACCCAACACACACACACACACACACACACACACACACACACATGCATACACACACATACCACACACCATACACAAACACACACACACATGCATACACACACACCACACACCATACACAAACACACATACACACACACACACACAGAGAACACACACACAGAACCCCAGCACAGAACACACACAACACATACACACAACATAACACACGCAGAGAACACACACACAGAACACACACCACACACACTACACACACCATACACATACACACATACACACACACCACATACACACAAACCACACACACACACATGCATACACACACACCACACACACACCACACACATACCACACACATACACACATACACACACACACACACACACACACACCTTTTAACCCAGCTCTTCCCAACAGTAGAAAGAAAATCTGCCTTGGGAACCCCTTCTCTCCAAAATAGAGGCTGGTTCTGCTTGGGCCCAGTAGAGTGTAGGGCTGCCCCTCCCACAACATTTCAATGGGATCTGATAACAGCACAGAGCCTTCCAGAAGCTTCTAGACCCTCACAGACCTGCTGAGACTCCAATTCAAGGGACAGAGGCTAGTGTAGGAGGAAGTCTGTATGCCACCATTAAACATGTGACTTACTAGAGGCGCATACAGATGAGGTAATAAAAGGGCGGTTTACCACACCGCTAACCACACCCACTTTAGGCAGGACTAAAGACGTATTCGGCTGGACGTAAAGACGTATACGTACGTAGGCGGAAGTACGTCACTAGCCAGGCCCACTTTTGGGCATGGCTAGGGGGCATTACGGGGGAAGGCATAAAAGACAGCGCACAGGAAGTCTCGCTCTCTTTTCCTGGAGTTCGGCTTCCAGTTTGGCAGCTGAAAACTGCTTGGCTCATCTGGGTTACTTGTTTGGTATCTTGTGAGTAATTTCTACAATAAATACTTAGTTTTACTTTCAGTAAGTGTGTGTCGCTTATTGTTACAGCATCCGTTGGAGCCTACAGGCTAGTGAATCTTAGATGACATGATCAGGTAACATTTTTGGTGGACGTCTACAGAGTGCCAGCTGCTAACCTGAATCCTCTGTGTGGATTACTCCAGTTAGTCTGAGAAGGGTAAACTCGGGACTGAAGCCTGCTCACTGGCTTGGCAGTGGGATTCTAGGCCCCCAGCTCCATCTATCTGGACAGCATGACTGCTGTTTGTTCTACTGGGTCTCTCTGTAACCGTGGCTGGTCTGGCACTTGCTATGTAGTCAAGGCTGGCCTTGAATTTAGAGATTTACCTGTCTCTGCCTCCTGAGTACTTGGGATTAGAGGTGTGAAGAATGTCATCTTCAGGCATCCACAGCTCTCTGGGATTGCCACAGTATTAAGCACGTCATTTGCCAAAAGGATATTGTTTTCAAAGACAAATGCCAGCAAGACAGGGCCTGGCCATGAATAATATTTTGTTCTACACTGGGCAGAAGCTGGCACAGAAATAGGTTCCCTCATTCCTGTCATTGTCCTGAAACATGCAGTGCTTAATGAAGAATTGGAAGCGTTGCGTTAGATAAACAGAACTCAGCCAGATGAGGACAATGAAGCTTAGTGGTAGAGTCCTTGACCAGCATGCACAAGGTCCTAGGTTCAATCCCCAGGGGCAGAAAAATAACAATTACAATTTAAAAATTGTTATTCTACTCTCCATGAGGAACTGCACACTGTGAAACCCTAAAGCTGTAACCGACCGGGCAGGGATAAAAGGATTCTAAAGAGACGCCGGTGCTCTCCCAATTCGAGAATCAGACCTTTGAAACTATAGGCCCCACGTTGGAAGAATGAAAAAACTGAAGCCTGGCATCAGCGAGAGTTATGGTCTCTCAAAAATTAAAACCCATGGGAAAAAAAAGAAAACAAAGCAAAACAATTCAAGCAAACAAAACAATTAGGCAAAATATGCCAAAACAAAACAAAAAGTCCACAAAAAAAAAATACGTGGAGTTCATTTTGTGTTGGCCAACTATTGCTGGGCGTGGGGCCCGCGCTACAGTATGGTTGATACGCCCCGGGACACCACTGGAGAAAGCGGATTGTTCCTTTGCCCGTGGGTGTCAATTGCAAATAGCTTTTGGTTAGAGGTGAGATCCCAAGACCAGTTTCCCTTGTCATCGCTGCGACCCCATCCGGCTTGAACCCGTACAGGTCCTGTGAGTGCTGTGGTCTCTGTGGGTTTTCCTATGTGCACCGATTCTGTTTGTCCGGAAGACACCTTTTCCTTCTTGGTACCCTCCATCCTGTCTGGCTCTCTCGGTCTCTGGTCTCTTTTGGTTGCGTTGATGTCCTCTTCAGTATAGATCCCCATGCCTTGAGAGGAGCGGTGGGTTTGGGGAAGACATCTCATTTGGGACCGAGTGCTCCTGAGTCTCTCACTCTGCATTTGTGCATAACTCAGCAGTAAGAAGGGATGGCCTGTTGCGACATCGTGCGTGCGCTGAACTGTTGCGACATCACGCAGGCGTCTCCCGTGCATTATGCTAGGGAAGGAAAGGCTAAATCAGAAAGACTGCACACTGCGTGGGATCACTGATGCGACACTTTGGAAAAGGAAAGCTGTAGAGTCACAGGGGCTCTTACCTAGTTAAGGGCTAGAGCTGAAGGGTGAGGTTGACTACAAAGAAGAAGAGGGACGTTTCAGGGGTGATGAGGTACTCTGTGTCCTAATTATGGGGATGATTTATGGATATTTACATATTCCCAAACTTACGGTGCTGTGGACGGCAAAGGATGGGTTGTGCTGTATGTAAATGATGCCTAAATCTAAAGATAAAGTGAAAAAATAGAAAAGCTACTCAAATAAAAAATTCGTATCACCAGTGATACTGAATTTGGGGCTGGGAGACATCATGATGGAAGCCTTACACATAGCCAATTATCTAGTCTTAAGAGGCTTTGGAAGCCTTGCTATAAACCAGGCACTGTGCTCAGCACTTGAGATAAACTTGTGAACAAGGAGACGTTAAGTACATAACCTCATGATTACAAACAGCAGTGTTAACTGGGTAAGGATCGGATCTTGCCTGTCAGCAGTGCCTTCTCTGGGAAATGCTCCTGTGTAAGAGGCGACTGGACTGGTTATGGCTGCAGAATGGAGCGGTTATACAAAGTATAGCCTATCCAAAAGGGGCGTCATCCATCACAACTGGACATGCATCCAGTGACGATAGCATTAATCTGAAAATACGCAAACCCTTATTTTCATTACAATGGGAACGGTTTCTATAGTTGGGAAAGATGTTATGGGGCTGGAGAAGAGCCAAGGCCCAGGACGCTGACAGAGGCAGCATCTGAGAACCAGGGCCTTGAACTTCCAGGACTCCAGTAGGAGAGGCTCAGGCGTGGCTGCAGCAGGGAGTGGTCAGGAAGCTTGAGTAAGTGGGATGTATATCATCCCTGGCCAAGGCTAAGAGCGTCAAGTTCGTCTCTGGGGGCACAGACAGCTCTCTCTCTCTCTCTCTCTCTCTCTCTCTCTCTCTCTCTCTCTCTCTCTCTCTCTCTCTCTCTCTCTCTCTCTAAGCTCTGAGCTCCTTCCTCCAGCCTGTTCAGTCCACTCTGTCCATGGCTGAGCTCTCACAAAATGTGTCTGTCACCATCTATGAATGTCCTATGCGGCGAGCGGACCGTGTGAGGCATCTTCACGCTGCAGGATAAGCCACAGTGACTTCAGATGGTCTACCTTCTGGCTGTCCTCAGGGACTCATTGTCATTGATACCCTTAGCTGTCACCCACCCTTAGCTGTCACCCTCCTTGTCACAGGTGGGGGGCGGGGCAGGGACCACCTCTTGTCATCAGAGTTTACTCCCAGTGACCCCCAACAGCACGCGGCCAGTTTGCCATGCTATACCACAGCCTCCAGTGGAGCCCTCATAACGTGTCAGCGAGATCAGTATTTCCATTTGTCACGCTTCGCATGTTTCGTTAAGGAAGACGTGCGCCCTGCGCTACCTGCAGTCGTTAGTGACGGGTCCGTGGTTTCTAACCTACACACCCTGCTTCCCTGCTTTCACCATCTGAGGCCCCCACCTGAAGAAAGACCCAAGCTCTGCTCCGGGAAAACCTGTCTCTGGCTTCCCTGTCAGCTGAACCAACTGCGTTGGAGGGGCGTGCACACGCATGCGCGGGGAGCCAAAGTGTCTTTCTCAGTGGCTCTCTGGAATGAGGTGATACTGAGCTGAGCGAGATAGGACTGGATTCCAGGAGGTCACTCAAGAACAACCGCACAAGCTGGGCATGCCTGTGGCAACTGCATTCTCTGAGCTGTCCGAATGACTGGCTCTTTGCTATTTCTATTGCTACTCAAATGTATTACGGGGGGAGAAAAAAAAGTTGCTTTTTTTGCTATTGGAGACCCGCCTCCTGGCTTTGAAGGCCACACCCTGAACCCTTCTGCTTGGAGGCCATCCACAAACATTACTTCACGATACAGAAGACTCAGTTTGAGCGGCAGAGCAGGACCCCACATGCTGTCTGGTTGTAGGACCTGGTGTCAAATATCCTGCTGAGCTGCTGGGGGCTCCTCTGTGGAGGATCCCATTTACATTCTCTAGGTTGTTTCTGCCAGCAGCAAGTGTGGCTGCCTCAGGCTGTTTCCAACAGGAAGTTAGGAAGCTGCTCTCCTTATTCCTCTCTTACTCACCCACCCCTTCCTGCTCTGCTTGGGGAAGAAAAACATAACCTGGGCAAGTTCTTGGTAATACGGTGTCACAGAAACTCTCACGCATGGACTGGTGTAATTCCAGGTTACAATCCTTAAGAGATTTTTGTTCTAGAGTTTTCTAGCATGAGACTTACAGACATTCTAACGTGGGCCCCATAAGATGACAAAATGATGTGCAGCCGTCAGTAGAGGGAAGAGAGCAGCATTTCCGCTTTGGCTAACTAGGGGAAAGGGCAGTTTATACGCAACTTGGCTCCCTAAATAGCAGATCAGTCACACTGGCTCCCCCCACCCTGGGAGCGTCTCAGAAGTGCAGACTCTCTGTCCACTCCCGGATTTGCTGAGTTAGGGTCTGCAGTTCAGCGTGATTCCCAGATGATCCCCAGGGTGTCAATATGTGTGCTAAAAGCTCTGGCTTTGTAGGTTAACTGTTTCACACCCCACCCCTACCCCACCCCCATAGGCTGCGAATAAGGCAACTTATTACCCAACAGACTGGCACTACACTTAACTGGGGGCAGAGGCGGCTCAGAGGCAGGTGACTGAATGAGAGGCCGGATGATCTGGATACAGCGCACTAACCAGGGTCCTTGACTGCAAGACACTTGTTGGTGAGAGAACCAGGAGCCTGGGTTTCACCCCCCAAGAGGCTGTTTTAGTCAGTGTTCTATGGCTGTGAAGAGACGCCGTGACCACAGCGACTCTCACAAGGACATCATTGAGTTGGGGTTTGTTTTGTTATCGTCAAGGTGGGGAGCACGGCGGCATACACAGATTGGCATCCAGAACCTCAGGCAGCAGGAAGAGAGAGCAGAGAGAGAGAGGGGGGGGAGAGAAGGAGAGAGAGAGAGATAGGAGATAGAGGGAGAGAGAGAGAGAGAGAGAGAGAGAGAGAGAGAGAGAGAGAGAGAGAGAGAGAGAGAGAGAGAGAGAGAGAGAGAGAGAGAGAGAGAGAAGGAGAGAGAGAGAGGAGACTGGGCCTGGCTTAAGGTTTGAGACCTCAAAGCTCACCCCAGTGACACACTTCCTCCAACCAGGCCACACCCACTCCAGCAAGGCCACACCCACTCCAGCAAGGCCACACCCACTCCAGCAAGGCCACACCCACTCCAGCAAGGCCACACCCACTCCAGCAAGGCTTAGTCCCTGTCCTAATCCCATCCACTCCCCGACGCCCAAGCATTCAGACACATGAGTCTCTGGGGGCCGATCCTAGTCAAACCACCTCGGTGCCCTTAGTTCTTACAGTGTCCTCACATAGGTGGAACACTTGCCTCCTTTCAGCAATCTCAGATTAAGGCATCCAGCATCCGCTGTGAAATGGGGTGCCAACACTTTCCACGTCTTCACCGTGTACTCCACAGCAACCCAGGAGGCGGGTATCCTTTTGCTCCCACGTCACTAGGGAAACAGAGACTGTTAGGTCATTCAAGGTCACCCAGCTAGGAGACGGAAGGAAGATTTGCACTGAACTCTGAGACAGTTCCAATGTTTCTCGATGTTTCGTCTATCAGTCTATCATTGCCTCCTCTCGGGGGTCCTTTGCATACTTTATGCTAATTATGCCTCTGTGGAATTCTAATGCCTTATATACATTGTAAATAACTTAGAGATGCTCTAGTTATAGTTATATAAATACATGTGTATTTATGTACTGCAATTCTTCATTACCTGTCCTCAAGATCCAATTATTTTTTTAAAGACAGGAGGATGTCACAATGCAGCCCAGGCTGGCCTTGAAATCAAGACCATTCTGCCTCAGCCTCCCAAGTGCTGTGGGGATCACAAGCAGGTGCCACCACGCCCAGCACAGGATGCGGTTTCTGAAGCTTTGTGAAGAAGCTTGCCTGGTTATCCCTCACTTCACAAGTGACCCGTGGGGACTTGCCACGTGCTGGGCTGTGGCCACAGCGAAGAGCCGGGTGCCAGAGCAGGAGCCAGGACTTGGCCAAAGATGGCGTCTTTGCGGCCTTGCAGGAGAGAGTGAGGGCCCTGGTAGTCACCAGTAGAGAACCCAGCCTTGGTTCTGCCAGTGTGGCCTCTCGGAGCTCTCTCTCCCACCTTGTACCTGACACAGGCAGTGGCGAGCGGTGGGCTGCTGGGGAGAGCATCTCAGGGCGGGGCTGCAAAGACTCTCTCCCTGCACCCTCCAGGCCCCTCCACCCGCTCCTCTCTGCTCCTACAGAGGTAGGAAGGATTCGTACTGGCCCATCTTTTTCTTGGATTCTAATAACATATTTTTTGGTAAGATTGGCAAAAGTCTTCCCAATTCCATTTCTCACCCCATCAGTGTCTTTAGGGGACGGTTGACTTGAAATTCCACCCCATTTATGAATCTTAGCCATGGGAATTGGGGGTCTACAAGGAGTTCACCCGGGAGCTGGAAGAAGCAGGAGCCAGGTCCAGGCCGAGATACTAGGAGGGTGGATTTCTGAAATCCCACAGCGAGACTCTCGGAAGCTTGGCCATGCTAAGGAGCTGAGCTGTGCTGGCCTGGCTTGGCATGCAGGCAGCCTCAGGAGGCCGGGGTGTACCACACTGTGCTGGCAGCAGATGCTGAGGGAAGCCCCTGATGTGGAGAAGTAGGTGGGTCAGTGTGAGGGCTTGTGGTAAAACTGTGACCTGTAAGTCCAGCTGGCGGGGCCTCCACGCGGTTTCTGTTTCCATGGCCCCACAGCCTATCTGGAGGAGTGGACCTAAAATGAAGGCCTTCACTTTCTGCCGTTAAATGAGAAGTGGATCTTGACTGAGCCTGTCAGAGAATCAAAGGTCTCTCCATCTCCAGTCTCTGAAGAAGTGGCGGGAGCTTTGAGGGAAAGAAAATGCTGTGGGCAGAGTCTGAAAGGGCCAGGGCTCCGCCAGCTGGGGAAGGCAGTGCTTGGCCAATAAGGACGCTTCCTGACCTGAAGGGAGGGCTCCTCTGTGGCTCCCTGTCTGGAGACTCGAGTAACCTGTGGGCTGCTAGGTGTGGTGTGCCTGCTTTTCTGCCAGAGATTGGGCTGGGAAAAGAAGGTCTTAGTAACTACAGGGAGAGGAGGGAGGAGGAGGAAGAGGAGCAGGAGGAGGAGGAGCAGGAGGAGGACGAAGAGAAGGCCAGGAGGAGGAAGAGGAGCAGGAGGAGGAAGAGGAAGAGGAGCAGGTGGAGCAGGAGGAGCAGGGGGAGCAGGGGGAGCAGGAGGAGCAGGGGGAGCAGGGGGAGCAGGAGGAGCAGGGGGAGCAGGAGAGCAGCCACATAGAGGAAGTGAATCCTTGTAGAACCTTGAACACTCACAGCTTCAGGTCTCCTGGGTAGACTGTCATTGGTCTCAAGTTTCCAAACAGCTCTGAATTTCTCGGAGTGTGGAGATCACAGCAGAGAATGGGAAGCCAGGAGTGTAGAGGTGGGCGGGGCCAGTGCTGGGCGACCAAGAAGGCACACACAGCAGGGAAAAGCCGGGATCGCGGAGGTAGAGCACCTCTGAACCGGGTGGACTGAGTCCTGAGGAATTTGTCCTCTCCCACCTGAGGCTGTTGTTGACTAGGCACGGTGGCTGTGCCCGCAGGTGGGTCAGTTTGATCTCTTCTGGGACATGCAAGCGGCATCTCAGAGTCCAAAGTTTAGAATAACTACGCACTAAAGCCTCTCTGGCGCTCCTTAGCGGAGTAGGGACAGATGGGTCAGGCCCACGTGGCACCCAGAGAGAGGCTGGAAGCTGTGTGTGTGGAGTCAGGATAGGAAGAGGTACCCTTCTGCTTATCTACAGCTTGGGGGTGGCAGTAAGAGCTCAGCTACGGAGCTCTGGGCTGGGAGCCCTGGACCCACATTTTAACTGGAGCAAATCAGCCCGCTCGTTCCCGGTGAGAATGCGAGGTGGGAACAGAGGTGCCCTGCAAACTCCACTCCCCAAACCGAGACCGGTAGCTCCTGGATCCTCCCTCCACACCTTAGATCTGCGGGTTTGTCTACCTCATGCAGATGTCATGAGGGAATTAGTAAACGCCAAATGCTGCAGAGCGGAGGTAGTTTTCTGAACTGGGGGTTTTTAGAGG